CCCAAGTCAGAACCCTCACCTGGCAGTGGGTCACAGCTGGCCCTGCAGAGCTTCCAGCCTCCAGCAGCTGGGAGCTGCACTGCCTGCGCATCAGCGAACTCTCTGAGATGCTTCATTTCTGTTTGATTCTTAATTATTATAATAGTTAAGGTAATTAACATGCTTTAGTGATTTACTTCATTTAATTGGATGTAGTGATTAAAATACCTTTTATATTACCTTCACTGCAGTTTTAATTTAAGATTATAATCTCATGGTCCTTTTCAGCTCCTCACGCTTTCACTTATAGCCTTTTCCTTTTCTGATTTTTCGTTGTTTGTTCAGCTTTCCTGCTGATTCAGTAAACATACTGCTGGGATGATTCCTTGGGAAACCTGCCTATGGTTATAAATTCTGTCATTTAGGGCAGACGCTAATGAATTAAAAAAATAATAATTTGAAAGTGATGCATGAGAATGTAGTCAGCCTTTGGAGTTGTCTGCTGCTTTTTGCAGTCTTTTTTTAGCATTAAAAAAAATAATAATTGTTTCCTTGATTGGGCTTGGAGAGGATGCATGAAAGAAGGAAATGGAAAATGACAGTGTTAATATCCTCCTAGCGTGTGTCGTTCCTTACCTGGGTGGATGGATGATGTATGGGTTAGGATTTTAGTATTACTACGCAGGGTGTGAAATTTTGGTATCACCACCCAGTGTAGGAATTGCTCTGGGAAGTGCACTGGCCTCTGAGCCATGGGGAGGAGCAGGAAGGGCTGTGGTGCTGGAGCAAGCCCGATGCCAGCCTTGTGCACGACACCTGGGTCACCGCTGTACCCCATGCGTGCAGTGGGGGAGAGTGGCACTGCCAAGCACCAGGCATGTAATATGTGCCCTAAAGCAGTCAAACTGTTGGTATGAGTGCAAAAAATATTAATAAATCATTGGTTGTTTAAATGGAATCATTTAGGGCTCATCTGGCTAATGAGGAAGAAAAAGCTGAACAGAACACTTCCTTTCAGTTTTACGGAGACGTATGAGATCAGCTGTTCATGGGAAGCTATCAGTGTACATACCTCGTTAGCTCCCTTGTGTAACATTCCTTATCTACATCTTATTAGTCTTTCATTAATTAAAGCTACAGAATTCAACATTTTCTGTTAGCTGTGCTCTCAGCGTGAAATTTAGCTAATTCTTCTACTATTGGAAACAAAGCTCAAAGATTGAAGTTTATTCTCATTGTGTTCTTATAGTTATTTATTTCATATTGCTGTCATGCATGGATGGATTTATATGATGCTCTGATGACCTTTAGAAATTCTTCTGATTAAATGCTGTTCTACTTCATTATGACATTCCTGTACTTGTACTACCAGATTTGATGTGTACAGCTTAATAACACAACTAGACATGAATGCTAATAACTTTACAATTAATTGCATTGCTATTTTTTAACGTAGATGAAATTTAAAGCAAGTTCCTCTTGCTGCAGGCTTACATGAATCATAGAAATTGGAAGGTAACAAAAGAACATATTAGCATTTGTTAGCCTGGATGCACAAATTTTGTAGTAACCATTTTAATATGTACTACAACTTTTCAGCCTCAAGTTTAATATGTACTACAACTTTTCACCCTCGATTTTTCAACCAACGTCATAATTGAATTGGTTCTTTCTTGCCTAAGGATAATGATTTTACCCTGATGGAATCTTTATTAGATTTTAAGGATTATACTGATGTTGCGTATTTTACATAAAGAGAATCACAGTTATTCAACTGTAAAGTACTTCTACACAAAGGCCACTGTAAGTCTGAGATATATGAACTAATTATAATGTTTAGAATTGTTGTTAAGACCCAGCATCCACAGCTGGAGCCAACACAATTGAGGAGCTTGTGTGTGCGCTTCAAGGACCCAGCCCAGGATGGCAGGGAGTGAGGGCAGGCCCTGTCCTGGCAGAGATCTGGTTGTTGGTTCTGGTTGGGCTCACAGTGTTCCAGCTGGCTGAGAGCAGATGAGATCCATCTCATGTCTTCCCCTGCACTCTCCGGCACTGCTTTGCTGTTCTTGGTTGTGTGGGGGGGAAAAGATGGCCCAGTTTGACCAGAAATGGTGTTTTTCTATTAGCCTGAAAGCCATCAGTATTGCCTTGGTAATTAGACCTCAGACTGCAGAAGTAACTGTTGTGTTAATTGATTTTGTGGTTACTTCCTTGTGTGCTGCGTGCGTGCTGGTTGGAGTGGATGTTTGGGAATAGCATCTTCAGAAGTCCCACTGATAAAAGGTGTGCAATGTGTCTGCAGCCTCTAAAGAGATGAAAGGGGAAGAAAAATTGCAAAAAATATTTAATATCTTTATACTTATTAAATACAGATGTGTCTGTAAATGAAATTAAGCAAGCAGTCATTCTAACTTTCTTACAGTTGGAGGTTAACCTCAATTAAATATACCTTTAAAAATCAAGTTTGTTTTTTTTTAAGTATCCACTTAAGATCATTTTAAATCCTAGTTGAGAGACCAGTTAGCATAACTCCATGGACTGCTCTTCTGTGTGTTGTGTTTTTATTTTTTTAAACCTTCATGCTTCATTACTGGGGATGGATATCACTTCTATGCTCATAAAACATGATTGCTTTCCCATCCTTATGCATCAGCCAGTTTTATTCAGTACAGAAAACAAGAGTAAGAACCAGCACCGATGGTAAACTTGTGCTTACTCAACTAACTGTAAATAGAGTGATCAATATATGAAATCAAATGTTATGTCTGTGTTGCGTTAAGATGGTTATCAAACTGCTGTGCTTCTTGGCTCCTTGGTATGCCTCAAGGTACAGCACACCACTCCAGTTACGTGTGGTTCAGTAGTTTCTTTAAATTGAGATGTAAACGTGTCTTCAAGGGGAAAAAAAAAAGTATAGAAAAGAGCAGACCTAAAGCTAATAGAGCTGCATTGAATTCATCTCAAACACATGTTAAATTTTCCTGACACCGTTACCCTTTCCTTTGGAGGTTTCAGAGTGTTCTTGGCTAATAATAAAAATAAGAGAAACGCCGTAAAATCAAACCAAGAAAACTCATTTGCCCATCTGCTTTCAAGCTTTTCCTCTTTGTCCTGGATATCTGTAGCAAAGGAGACAAAATCCCATCAAGCATTCTTTTAAGCTTTGCACACTTGTTTATACTATTTGCTATACTTGAGCTTCTGCCTTTAACAACAAAGGAAAATAATTAAGGTGCTGATAGTAAAGTTAAATGAAGACCGTAGCAAGAGACAAGATCTGTGGATTGCCACCCAGGCTCTGAGACTCTTCTATTGAGCAGCCCATGCTAAATTGTTTAAGCTGCTGATTCCCTGTCTGTAAAGTGAGGGCATTGAAGCTTATCCTACTCAGTGCTGGTCAGCATTTGTCTGCTTATGTGGATGCACTGATGTTGAGATGCTTGGTGTTACAGCTCATCAGACACTGGACTGTGAGGCATCTGCTGTGGCTCTGTCTGCTCTGCAGAGCAGCTTTGTGTTGGTTTTGGGGATCAGACACAACTGGCAAGTTGCTGCAGGCTGCCATGTGCATGACGTTACAGGGCTGCTGTCAGAGGCAGAACAGCATACAGACATGCCTTCCTCAGTTGCTAGCCCCTGTGGTGAGTTCATCTCAGTTCTCAACATGTTTGATGGAGAGTTGACTTGTGAGGTGGAAGAGGGGCTGGTGCTTCAGCAGTGCCCATCCCACAGCTGTGTGCTTGGGCAGAACTGGCACGCAGGGCTCTCACAGCAGTGCCTGTAGGAAATGCATCCTTGTGCTCTCTGTCTGCCAGGCCCCATCATGCCTGCAATGATATTGAAGCATCCTGGGAGGCTTCGTGGTCTCTGTCTTTTCAAATAAGTGGAGCAAGGAATTGTGATAGTCAAAAGATGGTGAGAAGGGAATGGTTTATTTTTCTGTTGCTTCCATTTTGTTTGTGTGCAATTGTTAACACTGACAAGTGTATTTTAGAGTTTGTGAAGGCACGTTAGGCTGAGATGGTGCATTGTTTTTTCATGTTTAGTGCACACGGTTTAGATGGCATGCATTAATCATATTCCTTTTGCCTTTGTTATGTTAATGGGAGAAATAAACTCTTGGTTTTCTTTTATTAAAAAAAAAAAAAGGGAAATGGGTAAGATTTATTAAGATGCATTATATATCAGCAGCTAATGAAGAGGAAATAATGATGACTCTGCACTGTAATACGTATTAGAGCACTAATTAGACTACAGCAGAACTGCTCACAGATGTCTTTTAAACACCTGCTTGATAATGGTCAGCCCATGCATTACTGCACGTAGCAGGGCACACCTGCACACAGACACACAGTGCACATCATCCTTCTCTTCTGTCTGTGTTCATCCATGCTCACATGGGTTAGGAAGGGCAGTGAATAGCCCTCGTGGTGGCTGGGCTGAGCCTGTGTTCCCCATTGCCTGCTGCAGAGAAAGGCAGAGGAGACCGATACAGGTTTTTTCCAACTTTGTGACCCTGTAAAGTCGTCGTGTTTTCCGGGCAAGACTTTCTGATCCATACAGTTGTCCTGCATGTTTGTTAAGCCAGAATTTTCTGTACTGCATCTCCAACATTTGTTAATTATTTATTTTTGTTCAGCTGTTTTTGAGACCATTGACAGCTGTACGTTTAGGAATAACGTTGCCCTTCCTTTCTAAAGTCCCCTTCTTTAACTGGAGTATCAAACAGCAAATGTTTCCCATCTACCTCTTACTTGCCTTTACATTTTTGAATGTTATGTGTAAATAACTGAGTTTTAAACGTGGATAACGCGTAACCCTCATCCATCTGGCCACAGGTTACAAACAATGTTCCTTCTGTTCTATATGGAGATGCGAGCATCACATACCTACCTACCTTGCAGCCTCTTGCTCAAGCTCATGTTGCTCATGTTAGGGCCTTTGCTAATGGCAGTGACTCTTGTATTCCCCAAATACTGACACTGTGATATATCACCTCTTTTCCCCCCTTCCCAAAGGCACTCTGCTCTGCCCCAGGCTGTGCTGCTGGCATGTTGCAGGACACGGAGCTGTGCTGGAGAGCCTGAGCTGCCCCAGTGAGCGTACCAAAGGTGAGAACTCATTCAAAGCCTTTTTTTCTTATCTTGACCATGAACATTTTTAACAGGTCTACTAACTCCTGAGGTAGTTAATTGATTAAATCCCACATGACCACATTTCTCATAAAATAATGGGCTTAAAAGTAATATGTAATATTTCCATTCTATAGGTGTTATGTTTTTGTCTCTATTTCAAAATTTTTTATACAGGCTGCAATTTTATATAGCTCCATTTCAGCCGTTGTGAGCTACAAATGTTTCTGTGCTGTACGTAAAATAATTTTTGACTTGCACACAAGGATGCTGCTGCTTTATATAACTTCTGCTCTGCACCCTAAAGGTAGCAGTAACACTCGGGAAATTTAATGCAGCAATCACAGAGGGATATAGCTGGGAAGGGAGGAATGCTAGGGAAGTCTGTCCATGCCCATCAGCACTGTTTTTCTCCTGTTAAGTACCAGACTGGTACCAGCTCTATGGTCAGCCCAAGGACCAGGTGATGCCAAGGGGTGCAAAGCAGCACTGGATGTTGTAAGGCAGCATGATAGATGGATGTGGGTTTATTGAAAGGAAGGAGGGAAAGGAGGGTCCCTTTTTCTGTTCCTCTCTTCCTCTTAGCATGTGGGCTGGTCCTGAGCATAATCTTGTGCTGTGTGGGAGAAGTGGGCTTTACCTAGTTACAAACAACAGCTATAAAGAAGCCAAACTCCAGGCAGTTTAGTTGCATTCTTCATTAGGATAAGTAGTGGTCTCAGCACACCAGATGCCTCAACAGTGTCAGCTTTTTGTGAAGCCAGTAGAGCAAAGCAGGAATACACTCGTGTGAGGGAATTGGGGCCAGAAGCTGAGTCTTTTAGAACCCCAGGTGGATACTCTGCCTTGCTGAGTTTTGGAAAAGCAAGCCTGGGTTGGTGGCACCGGCTGTACACCTGCCAGCTGCTGCTGTCAGACCTGAGCTCACCCCCTAACGATGTGCTGAGCCAGCGCATCTGGGATTTTTGAGCAAGCCAAACCAGTCTTCAACAGGATATTCTTCAGAGGTCAGGCACTTTCCTCCACTTATGGGAGAAACTGTCTCTGTGTCATGAGAAGAAGAGGGAGGGGAAGGAAGGCATCTAGAAACAGGTTGAGTCCCTCTGGGTGCTGCTGTGCTGGAAGCCCAGCTGTTTGGTGCCTCTGCTCACAGCACTGCTACCTGTCACTGGTATGTGGCAGCAGAGCTGTTCCTACTCCATCTGCCCTCTGCCTTGTGGCCTTAAGATTCACAGTCCAGTGTCAGAGGAGATGAGGCCTCATGTGATGTCAATGAACTGCAGAAATAACCTCTGCAGGGATTCCTTAAATCACCCCTCAGGGCCCTTCCCTGCTGGCTCCCCAGTGCGTGGCAGGTGACTGAAGATGTTAGCTTCTGCTTGCTTAGTGCTGTTTAATTGCCAATCTATATCAGCAGTATAATTAGGCATAAGCCATATCAATTTAATCACAAACCCTAAACAAACCAATGCTCATTCAAGTCCTGTGCATATTGACAGGCTAAAGCAAACCCTCAGCTCTTATCCATTCTGCACACAGATAATTTTTCTGCCAGCATCTTCTGCATCAGAAAGTCAATAACTGAGACCAACGTTTGTGTCAATAAATCCAGCAGGCAGTCTGCCCCTTTCCTGAAGGCTCACGCACTGCTGCATCACTGCTTCTCACTGGGGAGCTGACAAGGGTTGTAACCTCATTCTTTTTCTTCCTCTTCACCTTCTCCAGGCTGCTGAAGGAAGGAAGTGGAATTCTGGGCAGTTTGGAGATGTTGAGGAGAACCTTGCAATGCTCAGCAATTCCTGAGCAGCCTGCTGTAAAGTAAGTCTGATTTCTGAAAGTGGAAAATTGAGTTGAAGTATCTCCAATTTCCTCTAAAGTCCTACGGGGCTTTTGTTTTGTGAAAGGGACAGTGGGATTTGTTCAGTTGCTTATCACTCATACTGCCTTTATATGGCTGAAAAGGCTCAGCTGTCGTAGCTCTGACACGTGTTAAAGCCCTTACTGAGGGCAGCAGTATCAGAGCTCTGTGCCTCACACAACACCCCGGTGTGCTGGGGCCACTGCTCACTGCAGCAGGGCACAACCCAGCACAGCTCAGCACAGTGCTGTGCTCCCAGGGAGAGCTGAGCGGTGCTGCTCCGTGCAAATGCTGCAAACGTGCACGACCTTTAAATTCAGGCTGAAATGAAAAGATCTGCTGCTAACTAAAAGTCTGGGGTTGCTTTCAGATGTCTGAGTATTCAGAGAATAGATGTAGCTTAAAATGCAAATGTGGTGCTTTCTGCAGAGCATCTCTGCTTTTCAAGATCCCTCATTTCATGCTGTTACATCACACTGCCCTGCTGCTTCCATGAAAGGAGCCTCTCTGAGGAAAAGATTCCCACAGACAGAAATCCAACTGATGTGGTTAAAAAAACCCAAAACATGTATTTTAATTTCTAAAGTGCATGATGCCCATCTGAAATTTGGCATTCAGCATTTTATCTGGTGTGTAGAATACAGCCAACCGCTGGTTTTCTGGGCACGCATCTTATACAGTGGTCCTCATCCATGTGAGCAAGTAGATCCTGAAGTTTTCCCATGGATCCTGAAGTTTTCACTGTAGGATTTCCCTCTGAGAGCAATGATGCTCCAGGGCCTCTTGGCATCTCTTTTCTCTGTGTGTAAGTTCCATGCTCATGCAACGTTAGGTGTCCTGCACACGAAGAGAATCAGGCCCAAATGCTTTTATTTACATCACTAATGAGAAATGTCTGCAGTGCCCATGAGGAGCAGCTGCCTGGTGAGTCTGTTCCCTGGAGGTTACACATGTTCCTGTGATGCACCACTGGTCTTGCAACAGTGTTTGCTTGGCACTTGTTGGGGCTTCCTGGACATTGTCATCCTCTGTCTTTACAGCAATGTACGATGTGTTATTGATGGGTGAAATACAGAAAAGGTTTGACATTTCTCTGATATCTTGCATTTTTATTCTCTAACAATTTCAAGTATTTCCAATTCTGTGCCACTACTATTCAACATTTTAAGCACATAGTTCCTAGCAGTGTCAGCTTGTATTTTAAGCTTGTCTGGTTATTTTGACAACGTGAGGCATCATAAGTGATGTAAGCTGTTTCTCTCCTTAGAAGCAGGACCCAGCCCTGTGCTGCCCAGATAAGAGCAGCGAGACAGAAGCTGCTTTAGAAGCAGCAGGATGCGTTTGACTGCACTTCAGCTGCTCTGTATCCAGAGAATAGAGCAGGCAGCACTTTGGAAATGAACTGAGGCTATGTTAGAATGGAGGGAAAAATCAGATCCAAGTCCTGCTGTAGCCTGAGACTCCTCAGAGATTTGGAGAAGTGCAGTTTGCAGCAATTTAGCCTTGAAATTGTGGTTGTGACCGTGCTGTGTGTGTGACAGAGCCTCATCAGCACATCGTTAGCTTTCAGGTTTCACTCAGATACAGAGCTGGGAGCTCAGGTGCTTGTGGGCAGCAGTGGGAGCAAAGGAGGGCTCTGATCTGTGGGACTTCAGGACAATCAGAGAGATCAGCAAGGAGAAGGAACTGAACCTGCCCCGTGCTTAATGGGACGGGCATCCAGTGAAGCAGGACAGTGTCCACAAGCAGCAGCACCTTGGTTCTTACCTGAACTCAAAAAAAAAAATGAATTCTGCTATTTTCTTGAAGGAAAGACAGTGAGGACCTTAGAAAGACCCCTGAGATGTTTCTCCGTTCTCATTTTTTGGTGCTGAGAAACTCTGCCCTGCTCCTTGTCTCAGCTTTTCTCAGATTTGTGTTCCTAAAGCATGTGTCAGCCACTGCGTCCTGATCCTTTGGTCACCATTTTCATAGGTGTGATCATTAAGAGCTATAACTGATAATCTTGAGGGCTGGCAGCTGTTATCAATGATAGATGGCCTCTTCTGGGAAACCTCTGGCTCTGAGAACTCCAAAATATGATATAAGCCTCATCTTTTCAAAAAAGCCTTTACCAGATGGGTCTAAATTAAAGCATGGCTCTTCCCATTGCTTTATAGATGATAGCTAATTAGCTGCAGAATAGATAGATCTGCTCCTGCAGAAGTGGAGCAGGCAGAAGTGGGTGTTTGATATTGAAGCATTTCTGTGTTTGTTTTCAGTGCATCCATAAGGACAGATGATGAAGTCATTAGAATAAATATCAATACATGTATTGAACTTTCCATTATTCTGGATTTACCAGAGTTGGCTAAAAAGAGGACAGTTCTTGAGAAACATTTCATTTTTAGTATAGTTCTGCAATAGATCAACTCCAGATCAATTTGTACGTTTTGTCATCAGTCCTATTAGTAGACTGCTGCCAAAATTTGCAATCACAGTTGAGGAGCTGACATTTGAACCTTTAACTTTTTCAGGAGGGCTCCTCATGATGATCCTTGGTTTCCAGCTCTGAGGAAAGCATTAGCCCCAGGCTGCAGTAGGATTCTGTGTCCTCTTTTCCTCCTGTGTGTGAAAATGACTCCAAGAGATTGTTCTCCTTCAGGCAGGAAATGCTGAAAATGCTGAGCTTTTCACTTAAATGCCTCGCAAGCAGTGCTGATTCGATTGCCAGTCTTGTTTCCTCTTACAGTAGCTATAAAAGTCTCCTCCCCCCACCCCAAATCAAATTTAAAATGGCCTATTTTAATATGCTTCTCTTAAGCGTGTCTACATGCTAGATATGAAGAGTTTGAGCTTATCTTGTGTTATGTAAATACTGCTGTGCTTCCAGATTAAAGGCTTTTTCCCCCTTTGATCCAGACTTGTAGCCAGTTCAACTTTCAGCAGGAGTCAGAAGAGGTTTGTGGAGTTTGGCAATAGTTTTGTTCCTGAGGAAGGCTGGAGAAAGAAAACTCAAAATCACCGCTATGAACAGCTCTTTAAAAATGAATGGCTAACTGAAGGAAGTCTTGCGGTGAGCAAATTTTTGCTTGATATAGTTTGGGACCAAGTGTAAAAATAGCACTGCCACATTCATATGCAGCACGGTGGTGGAAGCGGCCCCTCTGCTGGGGTGGTCGTGTCCCATGCTCCCACCGATGGCCGCGTGCTGCAGGCCAGGCCCTGGGCACACAGGTGTTGTCCTGTGAGTGAATGGAGCCACGGCTGTCCTGTTTGTGGGGATCCCATGAAAAACTTGTGCTAGCTCTTCTGGAAACACAAGCGCAAGTGGAACTTGGCTGAGGTTTGTTCTTCTTTGCTATTTCCCTCAGTTAGAAGAGTGGATCAGAGAAACTCGGATCAGGTCCCCAGCACTGGGTACTGTGGTTGCTTGAAAATAATTTATTAATAGTATTTATATTTCATGTTTCCAAGGCAACACGAAAGCTCAGGACATTGGTTTTCCATACATGAGGAGTAGGTTTTGGCTGCGGAAGTGTTTTCGCTGTCTCACTGATTCTGCTATCAAGGCACTGAAAGCTGTGCTTTCTCTCATCGTAGTTGGTTTCTCTCCGATATCCATAAAATGATGAAAGTCAGATAGATGCAGCTGATGAAATAATCTGTTCTTGCTGCTGAACTCGTTCAATCACCAGAGAGCTCCAGTGTTCAAATAGATAAATTAGTGTTGTGACAACGGTAACTTTAAATGCCTCAGTTTGGTGGCAATGTTAGGAAATGAGACAAAAACTAAATTACTCGTCTGCTTTAACTGTGGCCCTTCTTGGATTGCTGATGAGAGAGATTCTTGTTAAACAGACGTCCTTTTGGATAGACTCCTTTACAAGTCCTCCCTTGAGAAAATGATTTAGTGTTTGTATCATATAAGACATGAAAGAGAGGGCTTTCCCTCATTTTCTCTGCCTCGTTTCCTTTTATGACTTCAGCTGATAGAACAGGTCACTGCTCGTGTTCCAGCACAGAAAGATCCCCAAAACAGAAATCATCGGAGAGAGCAGTGGCACCAAAGGCCTCTCTGCCTGCTCCATTAATGGCACAGCGGGCACACCCAGGTGCTTTGGTCTCAACGGAGAATTCACTTTCCTTGGAGATGGCAAAAATCAATCCGTGCTCCTACTGAGAGCTGCAGAGCAGCTGGCGCACGGTGCCTGAAATAAACCCACTTGTGTGCTGGAAGCACTGTGTGGCTGTGCAGAGCTGGGCCCTCCAGCAGAGCAGGGCAGCTGCTGAGGTTTCCACTTCCCAAACCGGGGAGGATGTGACCCCTCTGGAAGGGGCTCTTTGCTGATGGATGGCTCTGGTTTGTCCCCTCCTTCCTAGGAACTGCTTTGACTTTAAGTTGTCATCAGCTGAAAGTGAACATCTTGAGGTTGCATCCTCTCCATAGGCTAATGGGATGTTTTTTATTCTTCCTTTTTCAGCACTTGCAGTGCCGTGACGTTCTGCCATCCGAAGGGGAATTAATCGCTGAGCAGCATGAAGATTGCACAGCACAGACAACAGGCATGGTCCAGGCCTCAAGGGACTAATTATGTTCTTAAAGGGTAAGAAAATAATCTGAGGTGCACTGGAAAGAAAGAGTCTTAGTAATGCTCCGTAATGCTCATGTTCCCAGAGCTATTGGCATATCTCCATACCTCCAGTATTTGTCCATTGAAACATAGAGACATTCAAAGATACAAAGATATTTACTGACCTAAAAAAATATCAGCAAGAAGCTCAAGAGAATATATTAAATGTATAAACTTGTTTGACTTATAAGGAGTGTCGTGGCATACACTGTATATGACAGTGAGTGTAAGCTAATGATGAAGGAGGGAACCCATGAAAGGTATGGTGAAGAGGAAAGGTATTTGAATCTGCTAATGGAAATAGCAGGGTTTGGGGTAGGGGATCTGTTCTGTGTACCTGCTGCATCACAGGACAAGTCGGAGATCAGGCAATATGTAGCCACTGTCAGGAAGAGGAAAACATGACACCAGATCCAAAACTGGTGGCAGGCTGTGGTTATCCCTGACTCCAGCTGTCTGCGAGTGTTGTAGGTGACCTACAAGGAGATCTCCCAGAGATCACTGCATTTTTCTGTCACAAGTGAGACACTGCTGCTCTCAGCTCACGCTGTGTTAGGAGCAGCTCCCAGCAGAATCCCTGCTGAGTTGGCAGCTGGTGGCTGCTCAGGAGACCGGAGCATGGCCTGGAGGGGACATTGTCTGCCAAGGGCATGGTGGGGACGTGCTGGGCTTTGGGAGGGCTGCCAAACAGTGCCCGTGTGCATCTCCTTGTCCTGCAGCCAGCACTGTCTGATGGTGTGGTTCCAACCGATCCCATGGACAGCAGCGAGACTTCCATGTGCAGCCAAATGCCTTGGCTGGCTGCAGGAAGGACTTCCAAGCTGAAGGTGAGACATTAACAGCTCTTCTGAAATGCTAACAGCTCCCACAGGTGACGGGCACCAGCTCAGCTGGATGCAGGCAGCTTCCCTTCCCTTCTTGCTGGGGCCCTTGAAACAGGTTTGAGCTTGCGGAAAGACAGATGCCCATACCTTCCTTACAGGCTGCCCATCCTGCTTCCCAGCAAGACCTCAGCTGTGAGTGTACCAGGAAAGCAAATAAGAAAGGTCTTCACAAAAAAGCTCTAAGAATGTAAAACTGGTACCTGGAGATACAGGTAAGTGGCATACTTTTTTCCTCCCCCATTTTGTAGCTTGCAGTATATACGCATCAGATTTAAAGGCAAGTAGTGTCTCTCTTTATCAAACAGGCTTGATGAAAGAACAATCATGTACATTCAGTTATATCTCTGCTAAACGTATCCATTTTTATTGCTTTCCAGTAGTTCAAAGCATTAGCATAAAACAATCAAGGAGGCTGTTTTTCCTAAGAGAGAATGCCTGTTTACAAACTCATTTTATTTTCACAATACTCCATTGTTATTTATTTCAGACAGAAAGCTGTCAGATTAATGCATTCCCTCATGCAGGACAGCTTGCTTTATTGCCCGTTATTAAGATATAACATATATAACCTGACAAGCACTGCCCACGTCTGCAATCCACCAGTGAAAGGCAAATTAAGTAGAAAATGGAGATCTCCAGTATTTCTTGGGGCTCAAGTGATATTAGTTTTTAACTCATTTTGTATTCAGGGGGGATTCTGCCTGTTCACAACATATCTGACAGCGTAAACTGCCCAAAGAAGGCTTTTTTGATTCACAGAACAGCTACATCTGAGGAACTGCTGTCAGAGTCACAGGAGTCAACTCCCTTTGCATAAATGTGTGCCAACAAAGAAGGAAAAGAAAAAAACAACCCGACAAATTAGTTGGATGGTGCAAGAAACCAGTTAGAAAGCAGCTCCTGGAGGCAGAGTGGTGCAAGGTGAGCAACTGAGATGAGTAAACCCCATCTTAAAACAACCCAACAAATAATCCTTATGGCCTCAAGGCTCCAAACCCCAGTGCTCACGCTGTCCCAAATGAAAGTGGTTACAGCTGCTGGAGGATACGAGGCACAGCTGGTAACACCTTAAGCTAAGTTGGTCCCTTTTCTGTGGTGCGTGTATTCAAGCTAATGGCAAGACATCTGTATTCTTCCTCCTTTTCACAACAGTTTGTTTTCCAAAATATCCCACGCGGTCTCCCTCACAGCACCCAACTGAGAGTTTCTGGGGAACTGCTTGGAAGCTTCCAGTGAGCCTCGATGTTGCACTAGGACTGCTAGTAAGCTTGGTGCAAGGTCCCAGCACTGCAAACCTCACCTCATCCAAGTGATGTTATTCATGTTTTTTCATTATTGCTTAATCTGATTTATTTTCTTTTTCCCCCAGGATTGAATTCCTGAACTTGCTGAGTGACAGAAACTGCTCTGGAGAAGTCAACGAGAGGTAGGCTGGCTTTGGGAACTCATGTTATCTCTTAATGACTCTTTATGTTTTCCTTCAGTATTTTCCCAGTAATTACTTTTTTTTTCCTGACTCTCCCTGGAGTATTAAGTCAGTCTTATTATCACAAATATTAACTGAACTGAAATGAGATTAGGAACAGAGGTCATCTTAAAGGAAGGCTAATGTGAATACAGGATGAAATACAGAGCAAGGCCATGTGTCTAGCTACAGTGATCTGGAAAAGAAACCATGCTTTACTCAAGAAAAATGGTTTTGGGCTTGTTTATAAGTGTATATGCAACAGCTATGTTGGGATTATTATTAGTCCTTATTGCAGCATCTGGATCAGCTCCTTTCATGTAGGTTAGGTGACAGCCAGGTATTCCATGCTTTGGAAGCTTAAAATATGGTTTCTGCTCTGCTCATGTTCCCACTGAGCGGGTTTTAGTGCTAGAAAGTCACCAGCTTTATGGGAAACTGCAGTATGTGACAAATAGGCAATTTGCAGGGGAAAAAGCACCATGCAATTTAATGACAAATAGTGATACACTAAATAAATTATTTAAAAGAACCAACTCTTCTTTAATATAATTACATTCTATTTCATTTCTGAGGAGAGGAAGCAGCCTAGCGGGGTAGACAGGAAGCCAAGCCAAGGAAAGTGAGGTGGGTTTTCATCTGTCAGGATGCAGAACTATGGGCAGAGGCAGAGCTTATGTAGCCCTTACTCCTCCTCTCCCTCTGGCCTTCCTTTCTGTAGAAGCAGGCCTGGGTATACAGGTGAGGATTTTAATGGCAGCAGAACTGCTGAGAAGGAAACCGCTCCTGTCCTGCCATGAAGCATCAGGAAGGAGAAATGTTCTGAGGAGCACAGACAAGGATTTTAGTTGCAGTGAATCCCCATGTGCAAGTATATAATATACGGACATGCAATAATATCTGAAATAGTCTTGTATCCCTCTATGTAATAAATATTTTATTAGAATAGAAAAATGCATACAGATAACCATAGGATACACACACAACTGGAAGTTTAAGGAGAAATTTTAAACTTTTCAATATGAAACAAGGTACTCGGTACATATCTCATGGAGATATATAACTAGAAATTAAATAATACACGGTAATAGCATGAAAATGGCAATACAGGAATGTGAACTGCAATTCTGTGAAACAAGAATAGAAAGATTCACTCTTTGTTGCAGGAAACAGAACTATATACTTACTAGTAACCCCTGTTTTCCATCTCGCACCCTCCCCCCTATTTGCAAGAGTCTGAAAACATCACTGGTTAGCCACATTGAAAAGCAACTAGCCATTTATAACTATATATTTACAGTATATACAGATCTTGCTTACTTCAACAGCTAGCACTATTTTCATCTGGATGTGATGCTGATCTATTTGAATGCATATCAAGGTATTTCTATAGTGTTATCATGATACCTTTAATCCTGGTTCTTCATGTTTGTGTGCTCTCATAATCTCATGAGATAAAAATGAAGGTCTTTAAGATATGCTTTATGTCACATGAACACTTGCTGTACCATGGATGTGTCCAACAGGCTGACTGGTCTAAATTCACAACGGTGAAAGTTGGATATACCAGGTTTAAGGTATTGCTATGAAAGAAAGCATGGATTTCACTGTAGCGAGCTTGAGATCCTCGATGTATTTTTAAAATTATAAGCTATAGTATTGCCATAAACTTACTAGAATTAGATGATAGCAATGGGGTGTATTAGAGTGCTGGACCAGGTGAAATAGTCTGAACGGATTAAAGAGCAGCTGGAAGGAGAATTATGAATGTATTATTGAATTTACAGCGCGTGCGGTGCGGCAGACAAGGTAATTTTGGGCTGCATATTTGAAAGCACCACACCACAAGGTAGGAAGATGGTAACAGTTCCTTTTCATAAGGCCGTGGTGCAACTGCATTTCAGTAACGCTTACAAATGGGCACTTGTGTCAGTGAAACACACTGATAGGAGTTCAGAGAAGGGGGCAGTAAGAATGATCACAACTCGGTTATGAATAAAGGATCTGGTTACTGAATATAAGGTAAGGATGTGAGGAAATTACCTTAGAAGTGATTAAGAGGAAGGTCAAGTGCTGGAAAGAGTACACAGATGTACGCTGGGATAGAAGAGAGCTTTCTTTGAAACGTGGCTGTGAGCTCATTTCTTAGAAGCAGTGGAAGCCCTGCCTCCAGACACCCCAATGTGGACTGTGCAAAACTAACATTAATACTGCGACTTCTCTAACTTTTAGCTTTGATTTCTTGCTAGATTTAGAATAACTTCTGTAAAGGGCAGCAAGCCGCTGACACTGTCTTAAAGAACTGCCAAGTAGTTCATGTTTTCCACTGCTTGAAACTGCATGCTCTGCTCTCAGCTTTCATATGTAGAATGATGTTATCACAATACTGTAAAATATACTCAAAACAATTCATTGTCACTGTAAAAACTGAGTTTTTCATAGAGCCAAGCTCTTCCTTGTAACTGATCACAGTGCCATTTCAACTCTCTTCTTACACTGTAGATGAAGTACGTTATATGTAAACTCCTTTGGTTCAAGTATTAAGGCATTTCAGACTCCTTTTTAAAGGATTTGCTAAACTTTACATGGTATTTTTTAATTCATCCTACAGTGAAATAGAAAGAATTTAAAAACATGTCAGAAGAAAAACATGCATTAACCACTGCAGCTTCTTTGTTTTTTTAAGAAAAAGCACTTTTCTGTAATAACTGATTGATAATTTGTTTCTTCTAGCAAATGAAAATGCAGCATCACAACACTGAATTAAGAGTGAAGGAAAACACTGTCGATAAAATGCCAGATAGACTGTAGATGTTCAAGGTTGATGGACCAGAGCCTCTTGCATCCATACCTGTGACAGATGAAAAAGGTCAGGATTAAATGAAAGCATGACTATCTGTTGTGTCAAATCATTACTCTTTTACTAGATACTAAGCAGAAAAAACCTACTTTCATTGTTTATTTTTGATAACCAGTGAAGATGTATAAATAGAAACACTACATATTTTTAAGCTACAGAAATGCACTGCAAAATATTTAAGCTATATCAATGGTCTTTACTGTCAAGATGACCACAAAAAAAAAAAAGAGAAAAAAGTAAAAAATGTTGTTTAATACCAATTTGCATGGTAATTTACCAGTTCAGTAGAATGAAGTTTGTCATGCATAAGAGCAGGAAGACTGTTAATTGCTTTTCTTTTTAATACCTTATTACCATACTTCATACACGCTTTCAATTTTTGTTCTCCTATCAATAAGGACTCAATTCCTGTAGAGAGAACCTGTGACAACTGCCTGGTGTCAGCTGCACATTTAATAATGCATCACTATGCAAAGGCAGAGACGTGTCTCTGTATTGTGGGTGGTACAATGGAGGTTATGATAGTGGTTGAGGACTGAACATAAACACATGACAAAACAACAGCAGTTCAGCTTCAACGTACTAGCTAGTCTGGGAATCAGGATCTGATCACTGCTAGTGCCATCTCCACCTTCAGTTGTTGCTTTTACTTCTATAATGTAATCTTCATTAAACTGGAGCAGAAGTTCAGCTGTTGTTTTGTCTGTGTTCAGCACATTCATATTGTTCTGACTGCTTGTCCTGTACAGAACCTGCAACAAAAGCAAACAGCATCTTTAGAAAATCCATAGTGCAATACTTCTTCCAGTAGGAGCTGGCATGCAATTTTTATTTATGTTTCTTGGATAAAAGATTTTGGTCTTAAAAAGGCATGATGAGAGAAAAAGTCTAATTTCTGGTTAACATGACAGGGCACAATTACGTTCAGTACCGAGAGGAGTAGTGAAAGAAGTGAACATGGATGAAAGTATTTTACTAACTTTAATCTGCAATGGCAGAATCTGTGATAGAATATTCTGCTGACTGTTGAGTATTGTCATCATGTACTGTTTTTTAAATTACCCCTCAATTTGGAGTCTGTCATTATCTAGATTAACTGATTATGCCAATGCACAGTATGGGAAAGAGAGAACTAGAATGTGAAAATTATGGAGCTGTGTTGGAAGATGTTCCACAAGTGCTAATTCAATTAGTCTGTCATTACTGTTAATTACAGAAAGTGTCCTGTTTTAAACACCAGGAGCTGCATTCAGTCAGAAGCCTCAAGCAAGAGCAGTGTCAGCTTCTCTTCTGGTCTTAGATCCAGTGCACACTCCTGGCAGAGTTCTACAAACTTGACAAGCAGGTGAGTCGGGGGTTTCCCCATGCAGTGTGAAACTATAATGGCAACAGTAACGGATGGCAAAAAATGCAAGGCCACTGGAATGACTTAATGATGATCCATCAGCAATCCAGGATCCTGAATCCATCTAAATGACAGCGGCCTCTCAGTACCTTCCAGCTCTGTGCTACACGCTGCCACCCTCGGGCCATGCTCCCTAATGCCATGCTGTGCTGAAAAAAGCTCTGAGGGACACAACCATCTGGCTGCCTTCCACAACGCCCGCGCTGCGGCTGCTCTGCTGCTTTCAATGTCATTTGTTGGATATTCTGCTTGACAAACCAGCTTTCTGTTAACTGCAGTGCCCTTGCTTCTAGGGATAAAAAATGACACCCCTAAATGCTTTTACTTGGGTAAAATTAACCAGCATTATCAAAATTGAGCTTATTGGTGTTTTTTAGAGAAACCTGAGAATGTTGTGGGAGACAAAGTACGCAGTTTGGAACTGTATGCTGGATTCCTTTTGTTTGGCCACCTCCTGTGAAACCAGGTAAGCTTTCAACATTTATTTCTTGACAGCACACCCCAGAACAATGCATAATCAAATCTACATGTAAACTTTTACACAGGTAAGTGTCACATGAGGGGTCCAGCTGTACACTGATTAAGAACTTTCTCAGCAATTCTCATAAGCATAAATGATGTATTTTAAATACTTGTATGTTTGTGCACTGATCAGCTCTGAAATAGATGTAGCAACGTAACTTTTAAGAGAGGGAGCAAGTCGCACAGAAGTAAGAAGAAAAAGATTTAAGAATATCAATTTCATGCCTGCTGCTAAAAAAATCTACTTAGCCAGCAATAGAAAGCATCAGTGTACCATTACTGGTGAAAGGACTATGGTTTGAGAGACAGTCTGAATATGATTTCAACGTACAAAAATGAGACAGTTCTGAAATGTGCAAGGCAGGAAGTTTAGAGGATGCAAACAGATGAGGTAAGGAATGGAGTATTGCTTCCAGATTCTCCTATAGTTGTTTTTTAGGTTGTGGTTTTTTTTTTTTGCTTACCTTATACCCAGTCACCTCAGACTCATTCTCCATGGCTCTTACTTCTTCCCAGTTGAGGATGACTCTGGAGTCAGTAACGTTCCACACAACGTTTCCTGGTGGCTGACTGGGTGCTTTGAATACATAATAAAAGCATGACTTTAATTTAATCAGCATTAGTGATTTATCCTACAGTAGGAAATAACAGTTCAGGTAATTGATTGTCATTACATGTCGGATGTAAAAGCAAGTCGAATAGAGCCTCGTCATTTGTGCACTTTATGGTTCAGAGAATAAATTGGAAAAACAGAAGGAAAAGAAAACAACAGCAAATAAATGTTATTTCTGAAGTTGCATTATCTGTTGATGGTGTTTCATTAAGCACAGTCAAACAAAAGCATTTCTTAGGACACGGGTGATCAATTAGCACATGCTCTAAGGAAACCAATGATGATAACAGACATTTCCTATTTGTAGTATGTTTTCAAGAATAAGTAAACACTCCACAATAAATTTAGTCTTAGTGAATATTCAAACCAATGTGCTATGCTGATTTACTTTAACATGCCTGAAATATAATAGGTGACAAGATTTTTTTGTTCTTCTCTTGAGGCATGATTTTGAAATGCAGTCTGTATGGTTTCACTAGTTGCAGTTGGAACAATTAATAGGCTTTAGCTAAGCAAATCTTTTGGTTTTTGGTTTTTTTTTTTGTGGCAGTGTTCATTAACAACCTGAGACTTGTTTTCAAAGGGAGTGCTATGCTTGTGGCTGTATGCTTCAATGGAAAGGTGAAGTACAAACCTGTTCAAGATGCTTCAATGTGACTTCCCACAAAGTGGATCATGCTGCAAACCACTCAGCCATTAAGATATTTCTAAATGTGTTAAGGAAAACAATTTACTGTTGCTGTCACCTAGTGGAGGCTATTGCTGCTTAGGTGGACTGCTCCAAAGCTTTGATGCTGAAGGAATCCACTGTTAACAACTAACAGTGCTTTAAGAGTTTGTGCTGGCGCTCATGCTTGTGGCTTTTTTTTTTCCTTGGCTTTTTTTTCCCCTTCCTTTTATTTTTAAGCTCATTTGCATAGGAAGTTCCATTAGCAGTCAGATCATAAAGCACCTGATTATAGAGCACAGCACTGTGTGGACACAAAATGTGAGGCTAAGATATAAAATAACTGAAGTCTAACAACTATTCAAAGATTTATTCTTCTGCAGTATTTGCCTTGTTCCATATACTAAATGGGATTCAACCTGATGCACTAATAGCTAATTTCTGTAAATGTAACAGAAGATTGTTTTTCTCCTGAGATTTGAATATTATAACAGATAAAATAGTTTACACACTCAGATATTAAAGCTGAATTTGAGGGAAATGAATCACTCTCTTAAATCCAAAACAAAATATTGTCATCTAAAAAAACGAAGAATAATTACATAGACACTGTAAGCCTCTATCCACCACCTGACTTACAGAACGGATTCAAAAAAGGCTCTGCTTTGCTTCAGCTACCCAAATCTCCAGTAATCTTCAAATTTGTAATAGACAATACCAAACTATTATGTCCAGTATGAAGTGTGCAAATAGCTACACTGATTTCTCTAGGACTCATTAGATGCTTCAAGTTAGTCACTCACACTAATATTTCTCTTAATTACAGCTGACAGACAGAACAGTTTGTTGTAAGACCTCCTGAACATGAAATAATAGCAATATCTCACCTTGTAAACTCAGGCAAAACCTCCACAATTAAGTGCAATTTTATACAACAAAATATCTAAGACTAATTTGGGAAAACAACTAGTGTCAGAGACAAGTTGCAGACTATGAGGTCATTACAGTAATAGGAAGTTACTGTGTAATGTAATTAATGTATTTAAACCCCAGTAAATATAAATTAATTTGAGTGAGGTCATCTGTGCTTGCTTCTGCATATGAAGTTATTGTGAAATTACAGTTTCATAATACTGATGATACAACTCCTTTCAGCAGAAGGACATGAATGACTGTTCCAGGGAGGATGACCTTTTATACAGATATAATTGTCTGTTCTTGTGAATCTGGAAGAAATACTTCAAAACTGATTACCCTGATTTTGAGTTGTATTTACAAAGCAAGAGCACATTAAATATATTAGAAAAATTAGTGCAGTCTTTGACAATCTGCTCTCCAGCTTAATTTCTCCTTTTTGTAATAGGAAAGGGGCCTCTTGTGTAACTTGATTAGGGGAGAACAATGGACGTGAATGATTATTTTGCATGAATAGTGTGAGGATGATTCAAATGCCATGCCCTGGAGAACTTAAAGATGTTCTAAAACCCTGAGAAATTCAATAATCACTATTTTTCTTTCAAGTAACAGATTTTCTTTTTCACGGAGTCACAGAATTGTAGGGGTTGGAAGGGACCTCCAGAGATCATCGAGTCCAACCCCCCTGCCAAAGCAGGTTCCCTACACCAGGTTACATTCCTTAAGTCACTAAAAGAATAATAAAGTTTTTATGCAGAAATGATCTTACCTCAGCTCCATTGGCACGGATGAGTTTTAAGTACTCATTCTGCTAAAACAGCAGAGGGCAAAAACTTGAGGATCTATGCTTGATTTAGTTGCCCAGCTCTTCTATTCTTTATGAAGATTTAGGTTGCTTACGTGCATCGTGATTCCTGCTAATGTGTCTATTCCTCACTGGCCTGCAAATGCTCACACACCATCACGTGCCCCCCCACTTTGTATCTGTGATACTTACGTGTCTTCTTTGTGGTAGCATTCACTGTGGCACTGAAGGGACCTGCTCCAGCACTGTTGTAGGCACGGACAGCTGTGTAGTATGCTAAGTTGCTCTTCAAACCTGTTATTCTTATTGAAGTTTCATTCCCTGCAGCTTTAACTCTGTTTGAAGATTCTTCTTTTCCTCCATTATTCCAGTACCTCACCTAGTAGATATAAAACAAAGCTACTTAAAATGTTGGATAAACATTCAATTCCCTGCAACAGCATTGCATTCGACTCCTTCAGGTGCACATCTCTTGGCTGAAAAAGGTAGAAATATATTAAAGTTTCCAAAATGTGTACACTATTTCAACAAAATTTGCTCATCCATCTGCCTTTCATGCTTGCTGCCCTTTTGACTACAGAAAAAGCAGAACTGAAGCATTAGATTTTGCTCAAATTAAAAAATGACGACCAGAAGAAAATCACTGCTTCATCTACAAAATAAACAAGTTAGACTTGTCTGGCATGAGCTATGTGTGTGAAGGCATTCTGGATCGTGGCATTTTAGAACAAGAGGAGCATTTTAAATGATGTTACCTCATAGCCCAGTAGTCTTCCACTACTCATCTTCCAGGGAATGGCATTCCAGGAGACTTCGATGACAGAGGAGGACAGGCTTGTCACAGACACACCAGTGGGGGCTACAGTAGGCTCTGTAATTGGAAATCAGCACTGGAGAGATGAGCAGCATAGGTGATGGTGCAAATAAATATGTTCATGTTCAAGTTGACCTCAGTTCTATCAACTGTTGCTATATTCATTCATAAAACATCTCATTAAACATAAGCAGAAAATCACATACCTTCTTCAGCTGAAAAAACGGTAGTTATTGAACTGAATGGCCCTTCTCCTTTATTGTTATAGACACCAACTTTGACTTCATATGGTGAAAATGGCAAGATGCTTTCATTCCTGAAGACATATCTGGGCGTGTCAGGAGAGGTGACTACAGTCTGTATCCACGTTGTGGTGCCAAAGGGGCGAAAAGCGACGACGTATCCAAATCCTTCTCCATTTTGCAACTCCTCAGGGATGGGCTGTGAGAAAAGCAATCAGTGACAGAAGCCCATGATGTTACATACCACACTGGAAAAGCTTTGAAGGAAGAAAGCATCACTGTGATGTAATGCATGCGACTGTAAACTGGTTCTGGTCTGCATTTGGGATTGCTGCATCAACAAATAAAGTCTGGTGCAGTAGAGTGTAATGCTTTCATTTGAAACTATCTGCACATCAAGAAAAGAGCAACTCCCCCAAACATTTCTTGTTCTCCAGTAAGTACATTGCTTTAAGACACTTCAGTAAACATATCTTTTCAATTTCTGGTCACAATTCATAGTACATAAATAATACCAAAGAATTCAGCACTGTCTTCGCAAGGTATCTGTACCTTCCCCTGATGTGATTTAAGTAACAACATAGAGTTCCTAATATCAGGAAGAAATAGCATGGTAACGTTTTTTTAACTCATTAACAATAGGATACATTAAAGTAGTATCTGATCTGTTAGCACATACACAGAGAGTTAATGGTAGGAAAGCACAAACTGGGAAGCTGCACTGAGCTGCATAACACTTTGGCTTAACCTTAGAGCAACAACCAACCCTTCCATTTCCCATCCCTCCCCGCCCCCTTTTGCCTTGACAACTGTTTGAGAGCATAAGTAATCACCTTAGACAAGCTAACTGAATTTCTTACTGATTGCAGTCTAACAGTAGCAAGTTAAAGAGGGAAGGCAAACGTGCATAGCTCACATTACAGAATGTTACCGAGCACATATACATCCTAGATGAGAAGCTGCTGCAGCCAGGCAAATTCATCTTTAAAGAAGCGTTTCAATGAAAAAACCATTCTCTGAAGAAAACTGCTTGCCAGAAAACTTACATCCCATGTTATGACCAGTTCAGACCTGCTGCCGCCTCCCCCACTGACTTCAGCTGGGGGAATTTCAGGAACTGTGAAAAAGAAACGTACAGCTGTCTACGCCATGTCAATAGATGAGATGATATCACAAGTTAACCTCATTCTCTGGAGCTAACCCTCTGGTTTTCCTGTTTCTTTTGCCAACTGAGACAAGTGCTTTAGAACCTGCATGGGGTGGACAGGTTCTTTTTGAGCATTTGCAGAACCCTGTATGCTCTGCTTTGAATGTTTATGAGCATCTAAAAATCAGTGGCATGCTTCCAGTTTTCAACAGGGCTAACTTACTTATCCCAAGTAACATCTGGGATTTCAATCAAGTCTTTCTGAGCAGAAAACTGTCAAAACTCATCTCTTCCCCATTCATTAACATCTTCAGACTGTGCAGCACTGACTGAACAGAGTTTGCCATGCTAAAAACAGCTGAAATGTATTTGGATATGTGGACATAAACTGTCCCAAAGCTAAACACAAATACTAACAAACTAGTTACAGACTTTAACTTTTGATGACAATTCCAAGTTTAATTGAAATGAGCCAAAAACATGATTTTTTTTTTTTAAATATATTCAAGATGCTGAATTAAAGACAAATAGAAGAACCCACTAACCTGCCTCTTCAGTTCTTACTTTTTCTGAGGGTAAACTAGGTTCTCCACCTCCTATTTTGTTACTGGCAACTACACGAAATTCATATTCCACCCAAGGATTTAAATCCACCACTGTGGTTGTGAATGTATTTCCATCAATCACATCTGGAACTATTAAAAAAAAAAAATAATTAAGAAGCTAGTGTATCCTGGCCAGGCATATTTCACCAGCACCTGTGACAAGAAATGTGTATTACCTGTGGTAACCCGCTGCCAGCCAACTGAAAAAGGTGTTCTTGCTTGTACAGTGTAAGCAGTCACTGGGCTGTGATTGTCTGTGCCTTCCTGCCAGGAGATCTGAGCTGTAGTATCAGTTACTTCATCCACCCTCACATGTTCAGGGGGCCCAGGTGAGCCTAGGAAAAGATTGAAAAATAGGTGGTGTTCAGTAAAACCAATACCCTGGAAATCACTAATACTGCAGTAAGGATTCCCATTCTATTAAGAGAAGAAGATAACGTTTAGATTAGGATAAATATTTATTAACATTAATTATACTTGCATCTGATAATGTAATTCTGAAATAGGAACCCTGAACTATTACACAGATTACAGGTTTAGTTCACCAACCTCTGTTCAGCATGATTCCTCTTTCCATTCCACATTATCTTTTACGTTGGTCCTTGATGTTCTATTCTAATCTACTAATGTGTCTTTGTAGTCTGCCTACTTGTTATCCACAGCTGTTTTAGTCTATGAAGCACTGTAGCAATTCTTCATCAGAACATCTGATCAGCACCACGAGCAACAATTCCATCAGGCAAATGTTCTGCTGCATTCTAGAAAAATCTTGATTCTGGGCAGCCTAGCAAAAATGCTGTTTCTGTCTTATCTGCACCAGCAAACAGGTGATATAACTAACAGTACAAAGGCAGTTATAAAATACCTGGTATATTTTGAAATACATTGAATAAATCTTGATTGCATCATGTTGATTTCTGGATTACTGCTTTTATTTTGCTACAGATGTAATCATCAACAATGAAAGCTATAGTTCATGCTTAGCTCCGCAAGCAATCCTGCTCAGGAAAAAAAAGGAAATAAAGAAATAACCCTGCATTATATAATTTGAATTCCTGTGTGTCTCCAGGACAAAGCCCTTCAAACACTTTGGCAGCAGATGCCCATTTGCCAGGAAGGATGCTGGACCATGAAGTCACCATTTAGCAGACACAACAACAACATCACAGCTGTCAGTACTGAACTCCACTCATCAGTGGCTTGAAGGACTGTCATAAGAAAAGATATTATGCCATGATTTATTATATTCTTCAGTTTTTATTTTTTTTTCTGTGAAGAAGCAAGTTTCATCCAAAACCGAGCCTAACTTCAATGCAGAATCACGTAATTCAAGTCATAGATGAACAGGTTTTGTAATCTGCACCATAAACTGTTTCTGCAATCTACAGCACACAACAGTAAGAAAACACAATTCATGGTAACTGAAGCTGAAATTTACCTCGTACTATAAGGTCAGCTGCAGATGCCACACTGTCTACTTCTGTCTTCACCATACAAACGTATTTTCCACTGTGTTTCAGCTGGATGTTTCTAATCATCAAATCTCCTGATGCACTCTGTCAAAATACAAAGTTGTTAAATGAATTAGCATATTATTTAATATTCAGCTCACGTTTTGGAAGCGGAGAAATTATCACCTTGAATATATAAAGTTTAAGATAAACTAGATAAATAAACTTCATATTAAAGTTGTCCCAAAATTAAAGAGGCAGTGCAGCAGGTTATTACCCAGCAGCTGCTCCGTGCTACATGGCTATAAGCACTCTCCTAGCAGACAGGAGTTAGTGCCTGTACCTGCATGAGAAGCAAGCTGCAGCACAGGTGCCCAGCACTGGGAACACACCTGCAGACAGCTGTTAAGAACCACGAAGAAAGTCAGCACCCTGTGACCAACTGCTTGCCTCCAAGCCACAAGAAAGATGTGATTTCTACAGCCACCACCCAATCTGACTTCTAGACAGAATTCATAAGTCTAGTTAGCAAAGACATTCAAGGAGTTAAAACAGGTAAGCAACAAAGCTGAACCTGGTCTGTTCCGAAGGGTTAAGGATAGAATTCAGATAGGTACAGTATGAGTCCCTGGGTCAGTGTGCTGCTGAGGGCCCCTCACTGAGCACCTCGTATCCCTGGCAGTTTGTCTGGGATTTCCTTCTGCCAAGTTCCTTTGCACTGTGAGCACACTTGGATTTAAGCATTATACCTCTGCAGCTCTTTGGCCGACTGCCCTGATTTTAAGGTCCTACTTCTTTCTTTTTCATTATGCATTCAAACGTTGGTCATTTCTTTTCCTTTGTCCTCTCTCACGTTACAGCGTGTGGTTGATCAGAATCAAAGAAAGCATGCAAAAAGCTTGAGTGAGTGATAGCTGTAACTTTGCACTCTTACAGACTCGGCATTATTAGTTTTCTACATTACTGAAATAGAGCACTCAATCCTAAACTTCTGCGAGCCAGTTTGCTTCAAAACCTCCCCATGTGCCAGCTGAATGACTGCCTCAGCCCTGTTCACATCAAAGCTTCCAGGTGAAAAATCTGTCAGATTTCAATTTTTTCCCCCTCTTTCTAATTTTCTGGAGCAGCGGTTTCAGTTGAGGACAGAACCATACATACTTTGCAGGTATTCACAGTGCTCCAACCACGACTGATTCTTGAGAACTCAGTGATTTGGGAGAAAGGGAAGACATGATTGCTGTGATCTCCGAAAAACAGAAGTTAACAATCTTCCCAACCCTCTGCCTTTAGCAGTTAATTATTTTTTATGCTCACACAAACTGTTTCCGCTTGGATCCTTACATTTCTAGAATGATTTGTTTTCATGAAGACTGCCGTCATCTCAGATAAATCTCTAACTATATGCAAATCAGCTGTGCCATTTTGTCACAAGTATTTCTTTTTGAGCTTGAGTTTCATTCACTCATGTCAACACCTGCAATTAATGTGTAAGATGAGCATTACGAAGTCTCACGTAGAAGTTGAAAAAACTTTGCCTGCTTCCCTTCCAAGTGTGATAATAAAAATAAAATGCCAGGTCTTCTTTAAAAACAAGGATGTAAACATTTAGAGGACAATCCAGCACTGGTTGCCTCCAGTACCCTAAAAGTTAAGATGAAGGCAATCTAAAATCCATCTAACTTGATTGGAAGTGGATATTCAGGAAACGACCAGCAACAACAACAGATGCACACAAAGCAAATCATGTTCTACATGAACTAATTGTAGCAAACTACATTTAAATAAACCATCTAAGCAGAGGGACCATCAAATAGAATAATTTTACTGAAACATAAAGCTCTGAAACATTAACACCAAATTTAAACTATTTGTGGGTGCTTTGCAGGAGCATCCTGAAGATTTAAAGGAAATCTGTTTTGAACTCTGAAATCTGCTTGGTTTGCCTATAAATCATTTATCTGACAAAAAAGTACAGTACAACAGTGATACATCCTATATTTTTCTAACCATCTGGAAGACCAGGACATGGTGCCATAACATTCCCACTAACCACTACATGTCATGGATCTCAAGCATGCATGGCAGGGACTGCCAAAATATCATTACACAGATCTCCATCCACTAAAAAATCATTTCCTTTTGCTATGTTTATCAACAAAGCTGAAGTTATGCACAGATAGTTCCATTGAACAAATATGCACTGGAAGGCTTCTTACTGGGATTAAATTATTCCATCAACCTTAGTGGGATCTAGACAAGCTCACATAATAGTTCTCTGTTTCTCCTAGTTACCCATGGAGTTTTTCCATCAAGGAGGTTCAATCCCCTTTTCCAATCAAGTAAGACTTTAAAAAAAGTCACCTAAACCTCAGTATTCCATAACTACCCCTGGTTCTATGCCATACAACAAACTCCCAGGTAAGATGTTCTAGAGTCAGAAGTCTGAGTTACTCGATACTCTGAAATTTCTTTCACAACTGGTTGGGAAGTTTCCATGAAATCCTATTTTTTTTAAGCTCTTTGTTTTGTTTTGTTTTGTTTTGCTTTGTTGTTTTTGTTTTTTCTTTTTCATGTGGGGAAAACAGAAGTATGGCCTCCCTCTGTCACAGAATCACAGAATGGCCAGGGTTGGAAGGGACCTCCAGGACCTCCCCTGTCACCAGGGGAGACATAAAGAGAGAAGTGAGGGAAACACCAGGGGTACAAGAGCAGGAAAAAATAAGATAGATTTTTGTTTTGTTTTGTTTGCTTTTAGGCTGGAGCTCTCAAAGTCTGAAACAAGTTCCTCAATCTGTCATTGCTATGTTTCGTTTCCAAGGAAAATCATGTATGGCCAGGTGCAGAGACAGAGGTAGGCACTTAGAAAACTTCAGGTCTAAAATTTGAGATGTCTGCATACCAGATCATGTGCTGCAGGGTAGCTCAATGAATGACTTCTCTGCAGCAAAGACCAGATTCCATACACCCAAAAGAGAAGAAAAAACCTTCACAGTGTTGGAAAGAGTAAGCGAGCCTGTCTGTAAGAGAAGCGTTCACAACTTACCCCTCCAACCTTCTCAAAATGAGAGGCATCTTTTTTGAAGTCGGTGAGTGTCCCATTGAAATACCATGTGAAGCTGATGTCCAGTATAGGATCGTGCTGAACCTGGCAAGGCAAGATGACGCTTTCTCCAACAGTGACATCCATGTTTGAAGGTGCCAAAGTGATCCTTGTTGGCTCTGAGAGCAGAAAAATCAGTTATTGGATTTCTGTAGTACTACGACTTGTCTGCCACTAATGTTCTACCATGTTCTACAAATCTGATTAATGACAGTCACTTCAAATTATACAGCTGGACTATAAATGCTACCGACTGACCTCCCTTGTTGGAGCACTGTACTGTTGCACATTTACCAGTGGGAGTTTGTTGAAACTGAAAAAGTAGCTTTTTACCTACTGTGTACAGACCAATATACCTCACCAAGCTAAATGCACTGCAACCCACAGCAATGAAATTACCATTCAGAAGCATGTGTGGTTCTCAGCAATAACCCATATGATTTGGAGCAGTGTGCTGTGGTAGCAGCCATGGGGAAGATTAAAAGGTGGGAGTGGAAGCAGGAGACAACAAAACCTGGAAACCAGAGGAAATCTATATAGGGTAGGACATGTTGGGTATCTGGGTCTGTATATCATATAAAACATAAATAGTGCCATTAAGAAAAGCAGCTTACAATTCCTGAATCACATGAACAGAACAAATATCATATACCATAAATACTGGAAAAATTAAATTTCCTTCTATAAATCCTCTGTACATAATTCTGTTATTTGTGCATAAAAGGGCATGAATCATTTAGAAACAGACTGAAAATCTGTAGCTGTTTCTTCACTGAACAGAATAATTCTGTTTGGATCTATGAGATGTATGGGATATGCAATGCAGTAGGATATTAGATAATTCTGCATTTGGAAAATCTTTTAGTTATTCCCATCTTTAAAAAAGAACATCATGAGAAAAGACAGTCTTCAGTTAGACTTCACAAAGCACTCCTCCCCAGTCAGCATCTTAGACAGCAGCTAGCAATGGGCATCTCAGTGGAAGGGGCAAGAACTCTTTTAACAGCAATTATGTACACGATTAGCTTTTGAAAGACTTTATACTTTACTGCCTGTAGGGTCCCTGAGCACTCCTGCAGCTGGAGCTTCTTCCACATCTTTTTCCATGAGCAAATAAGTGTATAGTTCCTTAGGGCTAAAGAGATTTTTGGACTGGAATGTATAATGACCTCTAATATTTTTGGTTGGCATGAATTTCATACAATGTTTTTTAACAAGTTAAATAAAAAGAAGTGCAACAAACTTGCATTGTTTACTGTTCAGGTAACTAAGAGAGAGCATGGAGGAAAGTGTTCAGAACGTCCTCATCTGAGCTACCAGGACCATGAAATCTCTGTGCCAAAAGGGAGAAAATCCCTCGGTCTCTTTCCTCTCAACTAACCAGAGATCAATCCTTTTATTTTTATACATTCTTCAATATGTATTTTGTCACACTTTTGCTTTTCAACACATTTGGTGTTTGTTCAAAGCGCAAATTCAGAATTCATCTAACTGCAGGCTTCTGTTGCAGTTTGCAGTTCAGTGTCAACCTGAGCCTCTTTCCAGCCCACCTACCTGTAACTACTAAGTTTGTCGTCCCACTGGCTGTTCCAAACTGGTTTGTTGCCACACAAGTGTAGCTTCCAGCATCAACTTTGGTCACATTGGTTATTCTTAGTCCTCCATCCTTTAATAATGTGATTCTAAAAAAATTACAAAGATATTTTGGAAGTTACAGCATTGTTTTGTTGACAAAATGTCTGAATACTCATTTTGTTACAGTGGTATATCAAACTGCATCAATTTGCAACATGGCATTTGAAAGTTTTGATGGTATACACTGACTATATGCATGGAAAAAAACAGGAACACTAAAAAAAAAAAATGTTAAGCAAAGGAGACTCAAAGGAGACTCACATTACTGATAGATATGCAAGAAATCCAACATCCCAATAGTAGAGCTGAGATCCTAGACAACAGCAGGACCTAAAGGCAAGGATAATTTTAATTCCCTGTTTCTGGTCCTCTCATTTGTCATATCCTTATGTGCAGAACCTTCAACCAGCTCTTCCCTGAGATAACCTGGAGCTGCACACAGACCTGTACAACTGTACATAACTGTTCAGAATAACTGGGGAAAAAAAGGTAAGCAACAGTTTCCTGATACATCAGTCCATTTCAAAGGCATCAAATGAATCATAGTGATGCTACACTGCCAATCTCCTCGGCAGCTTAGCTAGCAGGCTGTTTGGAAATGCCCCAGACACCTCACAACCAGCTAAAGAGAATCTACAGAGCAGCAAACAACTTTAATACTGGAGGCAAACCTCTAACCACATTAGTTGGCGAGTCATACGCAGTTGTCAAAGCACACATCATCTGAGAAGGCAGCAATGTCCTGGAACTTAATACTGCTATCTTCCCTTTTCCAGAAGAGTCACGAGGGTTTTGTCTTCTCGCTTGCACGTACTCCAGCATTAACCTGCTTCTTTATTCAGTACAAAATTAAATACACATCCCTGCCATTCCTTTTATGTTTAATATACACGAGGGAAATTAGTATCAATAACTTGTCCCAACTGAGATTCGGTTCTCTATAAGAAGCAGATTAAGTCTTCAGTATTAGTGGGAATTGGGAGCATTTCCTTCTCAAAACTTGCCCCAGGCTCGGGGTAAGCAGGATGCTCAACTGAACACACAAGTTCTTTGTTCTGCCATTCACACACTGTACCTAACAGCTCCGCATAAGCAGTGCTGGGGGTGAAGCTGTGAAGCTGACCAAGGACAAGGAGAGCTTCCAGCTGCCGTGCTGGGCAGCTGGAACTGCAGGCAGGCACAGCTGGGGCACACCTTACGTGGCCGAAAGCAAGTTGGCCCTTAAAGGACATATGCTTCAGTGAACTGCACTGTCATTAACCATTTATACTGGCTTATGTTATAAATAATACAACATGATGATGGCATTATTTCTTTAAGCAATGCACTGAACCCATTTTTCAGAGAATAATGATGGTGGTGAATAAGGACAGCTTAAACCAACTCTCAGACTGATGGCTTCGGTGATTTTGTCCTCAACCTTTGGCTTCCCTGATCCTCCAAAACCATCTTCACCAACCACAGAGCGCAGCAGTGGGATTTCACTGTGCCTCTGTAGTTCTGCTGCTTTCCCTTAATAGCAGGTTCACCTCATCACCAGGCCACATGGAGACTGCATTTCCAATGTCTGAAAGCAGAGCAGTCTGGATTCCTTCCACTGCTTCACTGACAGTACAAAGCTCTTTGCAATGAAAAGCACTATAAAATTAAGCTCAGCTTTTAATTGTTTCTCTTAATTATTTTGATTTTTTTGTGTGTGTTTTCTTTAAAAATGTGCTCTGACACTCAATATTGTGGTACCTGAGATATGCTTCTTTTGGGCAAAATCAATCATGAATTATGACTTAAAGCAAGCTAAGGAGTTTTCAGACTTCCCACCTATTGGTTTATCCTACAATGGCATGTGTTGCATCACCTATTTTGAAGCAGTTCTCAGCAGAAAAGCTGCAAAAACAAACAAAAACCCAACAGCAATGACAAAGTCTTAGATCAAACAAACTATAAATAGGACTGGGTATGGAATAGAAAATGTCTATTGTTTAATTAAAATGAAAGGAAAACACATTTTTACAGTGCTCTGAGCCATCTCAAAGCCTCGCTCATCTAAACCAATGAAGCAAGAGGCTTATTAAAACCAAGACATAGTTTAGAATCAAATTTTTTTTTCAGAATGAAGAACAACCACCACCCAACAAATCAATTCTTGAAGAAAACTGACTGTCAAAATCTTTATGGCAAATTAGAAAGAGCAACTCTTTACTTTTTCAATTACAGAGCAGTAAATACAGCTCAGCTTATGTAAATGCAACACCTAGCAATAGCTCTACCACTTTCTGCTGAAAAATTAGACAAATTGACGTGTGTTTAGTACACCTAAAGTTATGAGATATTCACACTCTATGGAAAAACAGACTGTGGCAGCCCGCTGCCAGGAAGAGATCCAGATTTCTAACACAGACCAATGATACACCTTTGAGAGTTCTCTGTATCTGCAGGAGTTCTCCCAATACATTTTGTTGGAGACCAGAAATTTTTAAAGTTAATTTCATTTTCCATGACCTGCAAACTTCTGATGAACCAACAGCAGAAACTTTAAGCCCCATAAAATAATGGGCTGAATAATGCTTTGGCACACGTGCATTAGCACAACTGGAGACTGACTCAAGGACCTATCTGCTCCTCAGATCAAAATGTGATTGACAAAAATGAAATCATTCTCTCTTGAGAAAAATTGTAGGAAATGAATCCTTGAGAAGAGTCTCTTCTCCAGCAGTCAAAAGGATGGCATAAAGAAATACCTATAAAAGCCAAATGTCCTAACTCATGCCCAGGTAGTCATGCTCTTTGATTGCTGTCAAAAGAATGGGAGTAGATTTCAGGGTTTCTGATTTGAGAGACAAAACTAGCAGAGTATTCCTATCCCACCTAAATTAGGAACATGGATTTAGCAATAAAGACCTTTCCAGCCAACTGAAGTTACAGCCTCCATTAATTCTGCCCAGTACCCCAGGTGTGTTTTACTCATCAGGTCATAACCAGCCATGCAGAAAGCCAGCTATGAAATGAGAACATATACTTCTAATACTGACATGTTATTTTACTACAGTTGCAGACTATACCATATTTCCAGTACTTTTAGACACTGAGAATAATATCACTGGGGATTAGAAGGCAAGCGATGCTCCAGGAAGCCAATCTGAAATCTGTTGACTTTCCTGTATGTTGCCTAAGAACATCCCAGCTGTTCTGCATTTGCTGTCCTCACTCCTGCTTGCTCAGACAACTGTGACTGCACTACACAGAGGCTTTCGTATATTACCCTTACTTGTTAAAACTGTGTTAAATGGAAATGTTGGTGCAGTATAACCACCCACCAATGAAGGCCAGCAGACGCCTCAGGATCCAGGATTCCAGCTCTTCCAATGCAAGGCTGCCACTTGAAGTTTTGTGCCATTAATGAAATCGTTAATGAATGTAAATTTGTTCATCTTCCATGGCAATGCTTTGCTACTAAAATAACAGACAGTTAAACTAAATCACTGCCTTTTTATATTTGTCAGATTATTCAGCAGAAAAGCCAAATATTTTAGACCCTTGGTGATCTGATAATAAATATAAACATATTACTTTCTAGTTCATAACTCCTCAGTACAAAGGATCAGTGAAAAGTGGGTCAAACCAGCTTTTTATATATCAAGCAAATTCCAACTAAATTAAATCAGATTACTTAACGAGAAAGCCAGCCAAAATCAGCTCCTATTGAAGCACTGGTAAGTAAATGCATTACTTTCCAGATCACAGCGTTTCAAACTGCAACACGAAATGAAGTACAAATGCTTAATTTGAAACCCATAACTGAACCTTGTACAGATTATGCAATATTTTATCAGGAATAGTACCTCATCTTTTCTTTCCCCCTGAACTTGACATCACTTCATCACAGTGAAAGATGCTAAAACTGGAAGGTGTTTTTGTTTTTTTTTTTTGAGGGACTTGCATTGGGATGTTTGCCAGTAAAGGTGAAGTCTGCAGTATCTTTTCATCTTGTTCTGCTCTTAGTATATTTACAAACATCTAGGAATACAGGTGGATGAGCTTATAGATGAAACACTGCTCGGCACCAACTCAAAATTTAATCTTTCTCCTGCCATATATTAGAGCAATAATATAAAAACATTCAATGAAATCTTCTAGATGGGTACCTAGGACCATATTTAGAACGCCTACTGTTTCTGATGGAGATAAGCTAGCACTGAGTGTATTTAACCTTGATTAAAATGTCTCATACTCTTTTTTGAAATACACATTAAGAAATAAAAGCTCATCCATCTGGAGGTGGGGACTTTCAACAGAGAAGATGGAAGGTTTCCCCTCCTGGAGATGCTGTGATCTCTGCTATCAGGAGAAGCTGCTCCACAATAATTTTGAGTAAAAACAACCAGGATGCAGCTTAACAACTGCAGATATTTTTAAAAGGCCATACAACAAGAAATGACTGGAAAGAACAGCTTAAGTAAACACAAGCTGCTTCTAGGCCAGTGATAACACAATCATAATATGGGGTAAAAACAGACCTGTGCCAGTTAATCACGGATTTCCACAATCAACACCTGATCTGGAAGCACTGAAGACATTCTTGCTAATTCCTGACTATCACACTCAGCACATCCACAATAATTTGTTCCACAGTTCCAAAACTGCATTTTGGAGGGGACTGCTCCCTGTTTTAGCACCCAGTTCATTTCATCCCCATTTTATGCCTTCACTTTTGCATACTCTACGCTGAACCACGTGCCTTAATTCTGTGTTCCACTGTTCTTTACTGTCTTGTTCTCTCTTTTCAAGATATACTTAATAATAATAATAAATAAATGGAATATTTTGCAAAACTAACAAGAAACAAGACTGTGTTCTTTAACAGAGCAATTTCTCAGTCCAAAGGCTCTCGAATCCATTTGACTTATACATTCTCCCCTCTACAAGATGTATGAGATTCAGCTCATTTAATTAAAATTTACTGAGTCATTATCCAAATCTCCTACATACTGAAAATGCAGCACCATTTAAAAATAAATTAGAAATACAAGCAATGTTGCCATCAAAATGAAAATCTTCCAGGCTTTACAGAAGTAATGTGATCAGTAACCCCAGTGAAACATAAATTCACACAGAACAAAACACTAGCAGTACTCTGAAGTAGCACTTGGCTGTACTGCAGCAGAGCACTGATGCAGTGTGCCTGGGGCTGTGGGGATGGGACTGTGCTGGCACACCCCCCAGAGGGGACAGGCTCCAACACCTGCATGGATGCACACAAAAACCAAAACATCCCACTGCCTGATGTTCAACAACCTGTTCTACACTTTGCTGAACAAACAAGTCCATTACACCACAGGCAAACCTACCAAACCAACAGCACCACGGTTCTCACTATTCACAGACAAATACACTGGGAAAACTGTACATGCACTTATCCCCATGGGCCACAAGAGCTGTACCCCCACAAGAACCACCTTCTGCAGAAGAAGCAAACAGCTCACCACACTTTCCTGAAGACTGCAATTACCCTGCTGGCTCTTCACAGGCAAACTCCAACCGACTCCATGTATTTCTCACAGAGTGCTCTATAAGAGAGACCAAACCACACTGCAGGTCTGAGAATCAAACACATTCAGGTCTGAGGATCAAACACATCAAGCTCGTTCTGCCTCTCCTGTAGGTAAAGCACATGCACCTCCATGCCCAGCATTATCCTTTCTGGAAAGTCAAAAGGCACCTTCTGCCCCAGCCCCCCACAGAACGCTCCATCAGAAACTTAGTTAATGGCTTAAAAATGTACAGCTAATTGGAAACTGAATGGGAAGAACTGTAGAACTGTGAGAAATTCGTGAATTGCAATTATTCATAGCAGACAGTAATGAACTATAGTGCTTTCTGCAAAGAATCACATTTCTCCTTTGCTCTGAAGGAAAGTGGACTCCATTTAGATTAATTCAGGAGCACTGTCTTGTTATTACGTTTCCTCTGTAAGCCATTTATATGTGCTGTCAGTAATACAGAGGGGCCGTATACACTTTGGGCTGTATTTTGGAAATATCTGCACTTTGCAGAACTAAATGGCGGAATTTGTGTTTCAAGAAATGCAAGCAGGCAGATGTATATTTGAATTTGTGTTCCAATAGTTGTAAGCAGGCAGCATTACGTCCGCTCAAAACAGTCAGGAACTGAACATCACTTTCTTCCACTGGTACAGGCACCACATCTGAAATCAAAGCAATTCAAAGCAGCCACAAAGATGGTGTCTATCCAGAAAGTTCCCAGAGTGCAACTCCTGGCCAGAACTCTTTGGACATATGTGGAGCCCTGCATGGTCCGTGCATATCTGACAGCTCTGAATATCCTTCTAATCAACACAGGTTATCTGCTGCTGACAGGCAGCTCCAACACAGCAGGAGCAGGAAGGCTACCTTCCTCTGCATTCCTTGAGGAACGATGCAAGGACAAAAGTGAGGAACGGAAAGAATGGAGAAGCTACGTGGAAAGAATCCTGTGCTGTGTATTTATTTGCACACTTACAAAAGTTAGAAAAACAACCACCAAGTATTGTCAAAAAGAGAGGGGCTTCACATAGTGTCAGCAAACACTGTGGCCATGCATCACAGACTTCCTTATGAATGTGATATGATGTCATTACAAGACAACAGGATGTCTCACGAAGAAAGAAAATCCAACAAGGGACTTATTTTGAATGAGACTCTGCTTACTTTCAGGCACACAGCCAGCTAGCAAGTCTGCACTACTGTTCAAGCTCTGTAATGACAGAAGCCTAATTTCCTGCCAAAACACCAACAACTGAACACATGAAGACTATTTATTGGGTGCCCTTCGAAGAAAGAGCTGTGGCTGCACAGACCAAGAAGACACAAGCATTCAAACTTACTGGGTACAAGGAGACCCCTCGAGCCATGCAATGGAGCCTCCAAAATTACTGATCTGATAACATCTTTCCAAATCAGAAACAGAAATTTTACACAGTGTTCTACAGAAACAGAATTGATTCTGGTAACAGCACCACAATTTTAGAAGTTACTTTCTGTTTTGTCCCATACATACCACTGATAACACAGACTCAGGACATACAGCACCCACCTGGGCACAGTGATGCAGGTTCCCTACCCTCAGCATTAAGTTAATTCACAATACTTGTACTATGAGAGGTTTTGCTGTCTCTTCCTAAAGCGCGTTACATGTCTGTCAATATTAGTCTGTCACTTTTCAGCTCACTGGTCTGGGCTCATCACGTAATTCTTGCAATTATAAAGTAAATCTTGAATATTTTCATATGGCTTTCTAATGCATCCACAGCTTTGAGCCATCTTTGTAATATTTTTTCCATAAAAGCCAACACAGTAGTTGAACAGAAAAAAAAATATCAATATATTAGAATGGTAAGAACGCGAATTCTGGTCCTCCCAATTATTAATCCTTGCCAAGTAGAAATCTATTTTTGTCTCTCAGACACATTATCACATGGCTGTAGTACACCTTGTTAGCAGTGCTTTCAGACCATTTTGTTGAAACTTTCCACCTTTTCTACCACTACTTTATTTTCTCAAATTTACATCAGACTGAAAGTAAAACCTGGCTCGTGATCTGAAAGAAAACGATATATATGCATTCTCAGTTCACACAACAACAAGCAAAAACCAACCACATCCTCTCACAAGACATTTCAGAGAGGTTCACAACTATATGGATCTACAGATGACGCTACTGAATTAAAAATTATTTTAGGAGTTGGTTTGTTTTTTTTTTTTTCAATTAAAACAAATAAACCAATATAGATTTGATACCTTTCATTTTCGTGTAGCTGCTCACCTCCCTTCTTCCAGGAACACCTGGCCTTGGGGGAAGCTTTTGGTTTGCATTCAAAGTCAACTGTGCTGCCAATCTGAACCTGAACCATTTTCTTCATTGGGTTCCTGGAAAAATCTGGAGCAGAAGCTGAAATAGGAGAGAAATACTGACACTGAAATAAAGCATCTTGAATTATATTAACGACACTACTATTTAGCACGTACGTGACACTTCTCAGCTTCCAAGCATAATTAAAAACACTGAATGAATTAGTTATTTCAACCAGATCTTCTGTTGGACAATTATGCATTTTTCTTCTTTATGCTGGTTAAAAAAAAAAAGTAGATGTTTCAATTTTGCAAAGAAGCACGCACCTAAGATCACATTGCCTTCACTGGAACTGAAGCTCACTGGATACAACATGCCTATCTTCACTACATCAAATTTGAGCTTACATGACTTGTCTAACTCCAGTCAGAGCAGTCAACATCAAGTCTCATTAACACTCAAGGAATGTGGTGGATTCTACTTTTGTGCCAAACTACAATGACAGATCACACATATTAAATGATAGAAAACTACAGCACAGCTCATTCTGTATGAGCACAAATTGTATGAACTAACAGTTAAAAACAGCACATGGCTTCTATCTGTAGCAACATGGAAGATCGAAAGGAAATTCAGGATTTTAGGAGAATGAGGCTGAGGGAGCAGTCTGCCTATCGAGTGTAACCTTATACAATATAAAGGGAGTAACTCATGCCCAAAAGCACTGCTCTTGTAGGCTTAGTTTTGATTTCAGTCTTTCTGTGTTGGAGGTAGAAATTACACAAGCATATCAATGCATATTGCAGTCTGCAAGTTCACTTTTTTCCTCAAGTAAATTGCTGCCATTTATTCTAGACTCCCACACACATCATTTGAATGACTGAGTGACAACTTCTTGTCCCCTCAATCAAGGAAGGCTGCCACAAGAGCAGCCCACTGCACTGCTCTCCTGGGAACACCAGAGGCACAGTGCAGAAGGTCAGTGCAGCTGACTGATGTGCCGAGCCAGGGCTGTGTCCAGACCCTTGAGAAGTCTTCATCTCCAGGCCTGTATCCAAGCCTCTGTGTCTGCTCTTTGCCTAATTAATTATTTATCTGTGTTCTGTTTTAAAGCAATGAATGATTGGACTGCAAATGCTCTGGAAACAGATGAGTAAACTCCTCTGCACTGCAGATAAAAAAGATAATAGGTTGACAAAAATGTTTAATTCAACAGCGTCTGAGGGAATTATAAAGCTGAAACCATGAGGAGGTGGAGTACTGGGCAGGTGGACGATGTGAGGAGAGGGAGAAGGAGGGCTGTGATTTAATAAAGGGAAAAATCTTACCTACAACCCTGAGCTCCGCACTCGAATGGATGACACCATGTTTATTTTCAGCTATGCACTGGTATCTGCCAGAATCTGTCAGATTTAGATTCGATATTGTAAGTGCACCATTTTCAATCTGGATCCTTCCCTGAATAGTAAGAGAAACACCTTTACTGATGATGTATTTCCCGTGAAAATTTTAAAATAAGTAAGAAATTCAAATAGGAGAGCATCAACGTGACAAACGGGGCAGACGTAACAGCATACACGTAAGAACAGTTCTAAAATAATTCATATGACAGCACTGAGATTTGGCAATACAGTGTATAAAATCAATTCTTCAAACTTGCCCAGTTTCACAGAGGCTTTTTATTCTCAAATACCCTCGCATTTCTCCAGAAATGTGGACATCATACTAGGAAGACGAGAGCATCCAAAACACACAGATGGCACTGGCATTTCACACTATTTAGAGATTTCACACTTGCCATTTGTTAATGAGCTCTCTGTGATACTACGCAGAAAAAATTCCAATAGTCATTAAATGGAAGACACATTTAAGTGCCTTACAGCTGACAAGGCTATGGAATGAAGAACAGGATGCTTCTCGACCTGATGCTTCCTGGAAAGCTCTATGAGTTACAGTGGGAAGCGACTGCTTTGGGATGGAGTGATAGGGATTGGTGACAAGGGGAACCACTGACAAAGACAAATCCAACAGCTTCTCCTTTGGGGAAAGAAGTAATAATGATCACAAGGACAAATGATTTTCACAAAAAACATTTTCTGCTTTTCTGGAGCAGCAGTGCCAAGCAGAGGTCCTGCGTAAGGCTCATCAGGCTTAATATAACAGTACTCACTCTGCCCTTTCTGCTATGGGCTCATACTCACAGCTGGTCCCAGTGAAGGGCAAATCCAGCTATCTCCATAAAGCCAACACAGCTCAGCCCCCTCTGTGACAGATCCATTCCCAGTTAAGTGCAAGTTAGACAAAGCACAAAACAGTCCCTGAAAGTAACAAGCTTTAATCTCCACATCTTGATCCTATTTCCAGCATCCTGAGCTCCTGTTGTTCTTCCTCCTTACAAAAGATTCATTTATGGGGAAGGGAAGTTAAGTGGAATAACCACAGCAGGAGATTTTTGTGGAGCAGACCCAGCATGAAGGAGGATTATCACAGGAGCTGAAGACAAATGATCACGATACACAAAGAACTCTTCTTCTGCTGTCTCCCTGGTGCCCGCCTTCAGTGAGTTAGCCCTACAGTGCACAGCCCTCAAGCATTTCCACAGTCATGCTTATTCCCTTACATCATGCCTTCAAGGCTTGACACCAGTGCTCCAAGCTGGAGAACTGGGAAATCTGAATGAGAAAAGGTATTTTTGTACTTATGAGGTTAAAAAGCACATTACCTCAGTGACTCCATATAATTTAGTAACAGCGCTCTTAAATCACCAATATATTTTGTACTCCATCACCGAACTTGCCCACAAAACAATACCATTCCTGTTAGTGTGCATGCAACTATAACACCCTGAATGCTACAAATTGTTTTTCAGTGCTCAGGTCATTTTCCATAGCCATCCACTGAACTCACTCGAGCAATCCTTTCTTCAACTCTGGGTGCCAATGCTGTGCGCGGAATTTGAGCAGTCCTGACAGCAGTGGCCAAGGGCAAAATGCCCTCCTGCTACAGGCTACTGCCCCTAGTTTACATTCCCAATAACCTGCATTCAGCAGTTTTCTCAGTGCACAGTGAGAACTGAAATCGATACGGGTACCCGGTGGTTTTCTGCACTTCTGATCTGGCAGACCTGCTAACTACATTTTTCCTTGTCACCAAATGCATGACTTTCCATTAGGTTAACAACAGAATTAAAACAAATACCGATGTTACACTACTCTTTATCTTTCAAACACCGCAATTTTTGCCATCTTTTCCTCGAGAAGTTTGCAAATGCTTTCTTATTACCTTTAACAAAATTTGAATAGCAAATGTAAGACAATCATTTAAATTCTTTATCTCTCATTTACAGTTGTTAATCTATAATTTTAATTAACTTCCTTTTCCAGCCTTTCTTTATATAATTACTTCCATGGTTCTACCATTGCTCTTTAATATCCTTTTAGCTGAGTTATGTTTGTACAATATAATTTGTCCTTGTGTTTCAGATATTGCAGCTTTAGATGTTTCTATCTGGATGCTCCCGATGAACAAACATGGAAAAGTATACACAATCTCGACTATCTGGACTATTTACATGGACTTTCTGAATTCTCACTGCTACATGAGGCAGTGCTAATTTTGTATACCATTGTGCTCTTCAGAAATGAATATTACCTCTACTGACAGCTGGTCTCCATTCTTCAGCCATCTATATGATGGTTTCGGCTTGCCACTTGCTCTGCAATCCCAGTATAAGGTATCCTCCACGGAAATTTCAGTATCTTTTATCATCTGGATCCAGTGTGGTTTTGCTGCAGATGAAATATGTATCAACAAGGAAGACCCTAAAAAGTTGTTGTACCACCAGAGTCTCTCATTGGTTCTGCTTCAAGTCACTAATGAAAGAAATTACTCACTGTTCCTTCTAAATATTTTTATTGCAAGTAGTAAAACAAAAGGAAATTGAGATGATATATCACTAAAGCTGAACTAGTCGAACCAATATTAAAATCACTAATTCAGGAGTACAATCAACACAAATTTAAAAGTGAGGTGAATGTAAGGCAAAGACATTAGCAGGATTATTGGAATTAAATAATTGATGCAGCCAAACCATCAAATTAATGCTGAAGAGAATCTAAGGATCTCTGCTTCTGGATAATCTAAGCATATTACAATGAGGCTAAGGCTATACTTTTGTTCCTGCAAACAACAGCAAAAGCCAAATAATGTGCATGAGAGGCAGCCATGCAGGTAAATATTTACAACAATATTTGCTTTTAGCAATACTTCGGCTACTAAATTGAAAGCATCAACTTCTAAAACATAATAGATATTTGACATTTAATCCTTTATTTCCTTAAGTACAGACACGAACATTCTCAAATCAAAACAAAACAGGACAACACAGTGATATAAGAAAACATCAGTATTTTACAGATGAGTGATGGAAGCACCTTAGGTCAGATTAATTCCTGTTGCACTTCCTACTACAACAGCGTTATAGCAGCAATTAATTCAGACTAGGGAAATTAATGAGTCGCCTGTGGTCACAAAGGAAGTCTGCAGCACAGCTGAGAGCTGAACCTATTCCACTGCCAAAGGAACAAGACCAGCAGATCATCATTTGGATGAGGACTGGGATTCATTTCACTAAAAAACATTTGTTCATATAAATTCTCTCTCCTTATTTTCAGAACAGCAGTAAGATCTCAACACAGTCACATACTGTACTGAACTTCTTGACTCAAAGGATTAACACTATTTATGAATAATAGTCAGGATTATCTTCTCACAGAAAACTGTACTACATTTGTATTCATGTAGATACTAACTTAGGAGGCTTTGGAATTCGACCAGTATTTGCTGACAGTGAAACCTCCTGATACTCCTTTTGTTTTGCAGTTATCTTATGCCACATGAGCATTAATACCTTGCACTGATTTTGAGGTTCATGTATTTTTTACACTGTCTTTATCAAGGTCAGTTGTAGAAGACAGGATAACCTGATCTTCGTGTCAGACAGACATACTACGCCTATTTTACTGATATTCATGTTGGTTAAATATTGAAAGCTAACATTGCTACACTGGAGTTTAAAAATAGGAAAATGAAGAGCCACTGTTTTATCTCACACTGCCACTAGGAGTACTTGTCCCACATGTGTCAAGGGAACGAAAACTCAAGCTTCCACATCAGCACACCTTCTGCACTTTGCATACCTAAATATTTATGCAACAAGCAACAGTACTTGAATTATTGAAGGATCCATACATGTGCAATATTTCACATCTGCTGAATATCTCCACTTGAATGTAGGTTAACTGTAGTCTATTTTCAAGTTCACGATCTTCAATTCAATTTCATTAGAGAAAAGAACACTGACTACACTGTAAATTTGCATTTAAGGACTTATTGTATCAGATAGTCTCCATAGGAGGGCACTCCTAGTTCTCCAGGGTGTATATGATAGAAGAATGGCAGCAAGAGCATCGCTCAGAAAAGAAATGAACACAGCTTCAAAAGCCACTGTGTGTGAAATTCATGGTGCTTGATCATTTGCAAAAGTGTTGATGTAGACCTCAGTGATTTCCTTGCGGGAAGTTCTTTGTCTCTTCCAATTACTGACCAAGGAATCCAGCAGAAAAACAAATACTCTTTTCAATCTTCCATATCTAAAAGTCTCTAAAAATGACTGTAGAAAACATCAGAAGTTCTTTGAGAAAAATAATTCAACTAAATTCAACTAACCAGATCAAAATTGAACAGACAGCATAAATGGGGCAATTACAACTGGAAGTATTCCATGCAATGCTCTGAAACTTAGCACAGATGTCCACAGTGCAGCAGCTGAGAAAACAGCAGACAGAAGGTCACATGTTAGTAATCTCCAGTTTCTCTCAGAAGACAGATATTGCTCTCCAAGCCCAGCACCGCCCTCCTCATCCAGCCTGCCCAACTGTACCAGAATGATTCTGAACAAAAATTCCTCTTGAGGTCTTGTCACCATCAGACAAATACTACCTGCTTAGAACATCTGGCTTCATTCTGGAGATGCTAACTCCTTATCTGTGCTCCTGTAGGACTTGGTATGAAGCCTCGTTCTCACTCAGCTGTTGTGTTGGTTTGGTGCATAGCCATGATCTTCCTGAGGTCACCACTCCTCCTTCATCCTTAAGCACAGAACAGGCAAATGGGCAACATACCTTCACTGAGATGAAAAAGACAGGATGTCCTGTAAGCTGTGAGGCTGAAGTTACTTTTAATGGAGTTTGTAGCACACTGTGTAAGATCATAATAGGAGTCTGCGCTGTGTCTGCAGTTCTCTGGAACTCACAGTGCTATCTCCATGAAAGATGCGGAAAAGGTTCCCTTAAGACAAAATACTTGTAGGTAACTGAATTTCTAACCATTGTCAGCCATCAGCATCATGGTCAGTTAGCTGTAAAGGCACCAGCCTATATTTTGCTTCAGTTGTTATTGCCTCATATATTCCTTGTAATAACTCACAGTCCCACAGGCATGAAGTAATACAAGTGTGTAATTTGATAAAATTTAGCCTCGGTGACAGGGAGAAGACTCAGTCATCTTTTCCTGGGGTGAATACAACCACCATGTTCTTCCAGCTCATAGGCCAAGCAGGTGATCCTGGAGAAAACAGCTGTTACCTCATTAGACCCAGGGGAATCCCCCTAGGCCATAAGGCAAGAAAGACAATTCTTCTTTAGATTTTTAAGAAATCTCTTTATGTTGACTGTTCTGGGGTTTGGTGAGAGTGAAGACCAACTGCAACGAGTGAATGAGCTGAAGCTCCTGGAAGCAGTGGCTGGAGATTAAAGCTTTCCAGAAGCTGTGCTGAGATCCAATTTGTAAACAATTTGAGGGTACCTCGCAGAGTCCTCAGCATCCATGATGCATGCCAGCAGGAGTATTTAAATCCGACTTCCTTCAAAGTGGACGCTCCAATAAAAAGCTCCTTTTCAATCCTCTAAACCACAGGAAGAGAATGAGAGCATTCAGGAAAGGCAAAGCTTCAGGACCATGATTTCTGTGCTCTCCCACGGAGTGCTGAGGATGCCATACCTCTGCTTGGAGGCAGAAGACTACAGGATGGTCCCCAATTAAGGCTCACGCATTAGATGCAATCTGCTTGTACATGTCTTTACTTTGAAAGCTACAGAATGAAAGCCGATCCAGAAAGCTCTTCTGAAAACATCTTAGGATAGCTCAGCAGTCGGGCAATAAATCAGAGTCAAAAGGCACTTTCCATAGTTCAAGAAAAGGAGGCTATGAAGCATACTGGGAATTCACAACGTTTTGCAAAAACAGAAAATATAACCTCTGTTTTTCAAGGTAGTACCTCGCTGAAAGGCAGAGGTAACACTCATAACTGATGCTCTCAGCAGTGATACAGCAGTGATCAGCCTACATTTAACTCAAAGATTTAACCGAGCTTAAGTATGGATAACTTTTTTCTGATAAAACAACCAGACCCAAAGAAGCATGCAGTAACTTCCATTTGCAGATACCTGAAAACAAGTTTGTTTGTTTTGTTTTTTTTTTTTACTTCCATTGTATGCTCAGAAGCATTCACTGCATTGTTAGGAACCATTCAGTATGCCAAGAAAGTTGAACAAAGTACCTCTGAAGCAAGGCAGTTAAATTATTAAGTCAATTAAGCTTCAAGTTAATCAAAGCACTTCCTCAATGCTATTCAGCTGTTTACAGTTCTACAGCCAATGATATGAGGACCTCCCCCATACACTAGACAGTCAGGACAAAACCACTGAACTATGGTGCTCTTCCACATTGAAGAGCAATGTGTCTTCAGTGTAATTTGGGTGGTACATTCTCACCAATATGTCAGTATTTTTTTAACATGTATTTTGTATTTTATATGCTGCTACTTATTACTGGGGGGTTTGTATTTACATAAAATGGAAATCCAGCCAAGTGAACAGCAATGGCTGCTGCTATAAGCAAGCAGAAGTGACCTTGCTGGCTGATTCTGACCACCAGCACAATTCACCTTTGCTATTCGGTCCACTGCTGCAGAACAGAATAATTTTTTCTCCCTATTAAACATTTTACCTCAGTACTGTCAAGCATGAGATCCGTTAAATCAACACGTGCTAATTAAGAGTATTTTTCTTTAATTACCCTTTAAATTAATTGCTTTACATATCTCTGCCATGTTACATGTTGTTTAATTGGATCTTAAAATGCAAAAATGTAACCATTTAATTTCTTCTCATTTTTCCATGCTATGAAAAGTCATGGACTCTTTCTTCTTCTATTATCTCTTTATGGAAAAGGGTAATGACAAATGAATGTACCACTGAAGTGAAAGCAAATTATTTATATATTCAGGTTTTACATTAATTCATAGTTAGATAATCTCATCCTATATTTAGCACATTTTGAATTCCACCGAGGAGAAAAATGTCATTAAACACATGTTGGAATTGCACAGGGGACAATGAACTGAACATTTGATGTAGGGCTTTTCTTGATAAAATCCTTCATGAGGAAAAAGGAAGATTAATAGTCTGTTAGTAATGTTATGAAAGAAGTCAGAATACGTTTTAGAATATCTATCTGAATAATCAACCCAGCTATGTCTTTAGAGTTACATTTAAACCTCACAATGAAACTAGAAAAATACAGAACGTTTTTTTTCCTTTTTTTTTTTTAGTTACAGAAGCACACAGAACTACCAAACTCAAGCATAAAATCCATTTTGAGGCAACTACTGTGGGCACGACTGAAGTTGAGCCTACATTCCAGTGCTTCATGACTTCAATACCTCGACTCATGATGGGAAGAAGTAGAGACAGGACAGCAGAGTAAACACAACTGATGGTTAAATCAAACTTTGGCACTGAAACCCCCAACTTTCAGAATTCAAGATTTACAGTTTAGAATCATAGAATTGCTCAGGTTGGAAAAGACATTAAAGATCATCCAGTCCAATTGCAACCTGACCATACTACTCTAACAGCTCCCCGTTAAATCACAGCCCTGGAATGTTTCAGTTGCTCCCTAACAAAGGAAAAAAGCATTTCCCGCTTTCATTTAGGACAGGCTAATGTCTCATTTACAAATAATCTTTAAAATCTGGAAAGAAAATCCTGTATTTTTAGTCATATTGCACCATTTTGCTTATATTTTTTTCATCTGTGAAGGGATGGATTTTGCATTTTGTTTCACTAAGACAACACAGAAAATGTTAACCCCAACTCCTTTTAAAGCTTTTTTGGGAATCCAAATACCACAGCTACAGAACACTATTAAACTACAACCAGAACAATTCTCCTAACTCTCAAAGAGTTGTAAAATTATTTTGTCCTGACTACAGAATTGTTGGTATTCTATTTGTAAAAAAGAAAGCAAGTAACAAAATAAGAAAAACTTAATTCTGCAGAATGGGTTTCATTAAGCAAAACAAGCAAAATAAAACAGTTGGAGTAACATTCATGCCAATTACAAGCCTTATTTTCTTCAGTCTAAAGAACCATATTAGGGATGCATCTAGGACAGGCAGACATTTATAGTGGAATATTAACTCTATTCAAGGTTTCAGATCCCTTTCTGGGTTTGTAATGAAGATGTTCACACGGAGCATCTGCAAATCACAATTCTCTCAGAACTGCAGCTCACTTGCTTTTATTGATTAGCAACATCTTTTATTTGAGATCTGTGCCCTTTAATGACAGAAAAAGAACTCTGGAAGTAGTGCAAATACTTCAAAATCACCCACCTTCATAAATACATTGGAAGAACTAATGAACAAACCAATTCTATCTGGTTCGTGCTTTACAGCTGCTCTGATCCAGAGCTGCTGTAAGACTAGTGAACCAAATTGACGTGCAAACCACAGCTCACTTTAAGCTTTTGAAACAGCTTTATATAAGCTATTTAATGAAAAGTATATTGCCAAGTTTAGAACTGCAGATGACACTGACAGAGAAAGCATCTTAGCTATTTCTTCCTACGTTTTCTGATACCTAAAAGACCCAACTATAACTAGCATATGCAAAATTTAGTGTAACTATTTATTTGGGAATTGGAGGGGAATATTTTTTTCCTTCCACTTTATAACCTGCTTCTTAAATTAAAATCATCATTGACTGAAATCTGCCTTGCTGCACTGTTCCAGTAAACAGTAGCTTCCCATAGAAAGAACCAAGTGGCACAATAGGTGCGCGCCGTGCTTTTCCACAAGACAGAGAAATAAAATCTTTGCTCAAATATTCCTACACGATGAAAACATTCCAAAGCAAAGCCTGAATCAGTCTCTAAATTGCCATTTACCTGAAGAAAATTAAATTTGCAAAGATCTGACTTGAACAAAAATTGTCAATTACCACTTCGTTGCAAATCGCTCTAGCTTTAAACCACCACCATCATGCTTTGCTGATATTCATTTCACTCTGTAGTCTTAAATGCACAAGAGATTGTCAGTTTTCCAGCGATGAAATTCCCTATTATTTCATTTCTTATTCTAGAATATATTATCCTATTTGTTTATTCTTTTGAAAAGGAAACTTTTTTTTTTGAAAGCAAAGAATTGTCAATATCCATCAATAACCTTCTCCTAAAGGAAGATAAAACTGTCATTTCCTGAAAATGTGAGGCCTATGCAGTCCCTTGAATAAATCTAATCCACTAGAAATTTACATTTTCACCCATGGACCAACAAAAAGTATTAAATATATACATATATCATTCCAGCATTTTTCTAAACAAGCACAGTCACTTCCTGCAGCTCTTTTGAATGTGGACATTTACCAAAAGTGTTATGCAAAACATTGGTGAAGAAGTTACCTTCTTTCTCTGCAAGAGGCTAGCAACTTTTATGAACAAATTTGCAATAGCACTGTAGAAGCTGTAAACCCCAAACGAATTGATAGTGGTTTATATTTCGTGTGTAAAGAAGGATAGAAGAGAGGGAGAAAGAAAAAACTTCCTACCATAGTAAGTGAGACGACCTCTTGCTATGTTTTTTCCTCTTGAGTTTTCAGTAATACATTCATACAGTCCTGCATCCTCCTGCTGGAAATTAGGTATTTCAATCATGCCATTGGATTTCCTTAGCTTTATTTTGCTCGGAAATGGCATACCATCAGTTCTTCTCCAGTTAATCTGAGGCACGGGGCTAAACAGAAAATAATGGGATTTCATTAAATAACTTTGCTGCAAGTACTTGATTGTAAAAATTAGGTACTTAAACTAATATGCATTAAAGCCCTGAAGTGACTAAAGCTTGCATTAAAAGTAGTATTCATACTGTACATGACAGATGGTCAGACAGCATGGTTACTGATTTGCATATGCTGTTCTGTTCCTCATGCTATTATTTATGGCATCAGATTTTTCACGAGTATCTGAACGTTCAAAGACTTGAAAATTTCCAGTAAATCACCACTGGCCTCCCCTGAAGACAGGAGAGCTTTACCAGTGTCCTCAAAGGAAGGGGAATCAAGGCGAGCCTCAGGTTCCATCCTAGAAGAGCCATTCATTCTCTGATAGGCAAAATTTCCCTTACCTAGCTGGGGAACAGAAGCAATAACATGTGATTAAGTTACCATTCTGGAGTTTAAAATTATGAACACCTGACAAAGCTGCCTACAAATAAACTGCAGAGTGGTTACTAAATACGTTTACAGAAACATAAATGCATTCTCAAATCATCTATGAAGATAGCAATAAAAAGATAGCAATTACGTGTGAAATGTCATTGAGAAGAGGAATGCATTTTAATCTTGATTTCAGCTACAAAGGAAGGACAACATTAGAAAAGCATAAGGTACATTTAACAGTGAAATTCAGTCCTAACTGTCACTGACTTCAACAAGAGTCCCTTTATACTGAGAAAGCAGAGCTACCTCAAAGGACATCTGCAAAACTCACTGATCTTGTTCAAGAGAATCTGAAGTGAAACATAAGATTCCTGCACTGCAAACATTTTAATTCTAAACAACAACAGAAGTGTCTTCAAGGCTCTTTCACATCTTATTCCAAAGCAGTAAATATGATGGTCAAAACTTGATCTTAGGAGAAGACTACCGAAAAGATGGTGCTAGATGCCCACATCTGTTGTGCAAATGAACTCCAGTACACTTCAGCCTTGCCGTATGGGTGAAGATGAGAACTTACTTTCCTAGTGCAAAGCATTCCAGTTTCACAGTTGAGCCTTTCGCTGCAGGAAGCGTCTCAGGAAACTGAACTTCTATTTTGGGTTCATATTCTCCCATCACACCTATGCAAGACAAGTGAGAAAAGACATTTTTCATTTTTCAAGCCATCGTTCTCTAAAACACTGAATAACATCACATTCAAAATTTATTTCTCTTGCACTCCATTTAGAAACTCACACACAATGACCTTACAATGAAATCGCTGTCAGATGTAGCAGAGGAATGCACAACAAAAGAATAGTTTATCTTCTTACAAGCAACCAATACTCTGAGACTGCACCAAAGGTTACAGTGCCACAAAAAAAAACATCCACTGGAAACTAGCTGTTTGTAACACAGTGAAAGTAGTGTTATTTCGAGACTGGGAAAAGGAAAGCCATACCATCAGTGCGCAGCACGAGAGGAGTTGGTGACCCAAGGACCTGGCTGTTTGTCACAGTGCTGGTCACGACACAGGTGTAATTTCCCACATCTGAAGGCTCCACTTTGGCGATGTAGAGGTGGCCGGTCTCCTGAGACACAAATCGCCGGCTGTCCTCTTGGACAAACGATGGATACTCGTTGAAGATCCAAGCAAATGACAACTCTGATTGGTTATAAAAATAAAGATGTTTGATAAGGTTGGTTTTTTTTTTTCCTCTCCCACATTTTTATCTTCATAGGTCTTTATTTTACTGCATCTTGTAACATTATTATATATAATATTATGTAATAGGACCAGAGAACCAATGACAGAAAAAAAAGCACCAAAGCATCAGAAACAAGCAAAACTAAAAAAGCAGATGGCTTCTTCAACAAAGCCTCCTGCTCCAGAAAAACATGAAAACAATTCCAAATCTTTTACCATAGAATCACAGAATGGCCTGGGTTGCAAAGGAGCACAATGATCATCTTGTTCCAACTTCCTGCTATGTGCAGGTCACCAACCAGCAGCCCAGGCTGCCCAGAGCCACATCCAGCCTGGCTTTGAATGCCTTCAGGGATGGGGCATCCACAGCCTCCTTGGGCAACCTGTGCCAGTGCCTCACCACTGAAAAACTTCCTCCTAATATCCAACCAAAATCTCCTTTGTCTCATTTTAAAACCATTCCCCCTTATCCTATCACTATCCAAAAGTGATACACAAGGATCCTTTTTTTTTTTTTTTTTTTTTTTTTTTGAGACAGCAGAATTAGACCACAATTTATTAAAAGGGAAATATCATTTATTATCTACAGCCCAGCTAGATACCTGAGAGAAATAGCACTGGCATATGCAGCTGAAAAGAACATCCAAAGATCCATAAACACCTGGAAGAGCTCAGCACAAAGCAAAACTACATTTTTCATAGAAAAGTTTGATCTCGGCATGAAACAGCAGTTCTTTATGGACACTTTAAAGGAAAACTTCACTTGAAAAGATAAATCGAGGAGATTGGGCATAAATTACACGTAATTATTTTTCTCTGAATACCATTCTGAGCTGTGCAAAAGACCCTTCCTGTGAGAGGCCATGTGCCTGTTGCATTCATATCCTATAGAATGAAAGGAAATTAATTTTTAATGGTTTCCCAGGCAAGAAATAATTTTTCACCCAAGTGCCACTCAGCTGAAAGTTTATGAAAAGATTAGAGCTTCTACAAGTGCTAATTGGAAACGATTATAGTTTGATTGACCTGCCTTGGCACTGAACTGTCTTGTAGCACTAGCACTGCCCCTACAAAATGGAGATCATCCATTGGGTTTAATTTGGAAGTGCAGACATTTGGATGCAGTTGAAAAAGAAGAGCAGGTATTTTCATAACTCCCATATCTGAGTGTGAACACGCAGCCAGGAAAGCATTAAGCCAACAGGATAATTTAACAACAGGCAAGATACTGCAGATAAAAAACACTCAAATTAAATTATTAAAGTATTTATGGACTGGTTAATGTAAAAAGGGCATCAAATGAAATAGCTCATAATTGCATTTAATTTCCTTCTATCAATATTTAAACTCCTTCCATTACCATAATTTTGCTGGAACAGTGCATGTGAACAACTGACATTCTCAGTTATATGCTCAAGAGTTAAACTTCCATTATAAGGGGATTTTTTGTTGTTGAAAATAACCACCTATCCTTCTAGACTCACCACACTTCCAGTGAAACAATGCACTCCCCTAGAAGTTGCTTCCTATGTAAGTTCAGAGGTTGAATTTATTGTAACAAAGGCCAACACAGATTTGTTATGAAAACACAGAGCATTTACTGGAGATGATGCCTGAGATATGCCCCAAGTCTCCTAAGAAAGTTATACACATCCAGTCCACAACAACACAAGTCCTGTAGAGCTACTCTCCTGCCTTACAACAGACACCGAGATGCAGCGTCAGAGCCTTGCTGTTACAGAGAGGGATGAGGGAGCAGAGTGCAGCACTGAGGGGCACCGCTGATGGCTCTGCCCACAGTCAGCACCATGCAGTGCTCCATCAACCACAGAAAAACTAAGTAAATAAACATATGAAATGATGCAGCAGGTCTACAGGATTTGAAAGGGACCACAGCCTCTTTGTATGGTCTTACAAAATGGAAAAGGCTAGAAAATCGTATTTTATCATAGCAGCGAGGGATGAGAGCAATTGTAAGACAGATAAAACTGTAGCACAAACTAGGTATCAATGCAGGAACATTAGGGAAGGACATTAGGAAGTATTACTTTTCAGAAAGGGTGGTCAGGCACTGCAATGGACTGCCCAGGGAGGTGGTGGAGTCACTGAGCCTGGGGGTGTTCAAGGAAAGACTGGATGTTGTGTTGAGGGACATGGTTTAGTAGGAGCTATTGGGAATAGGTGAACGGTTGGACTGGGTGATCTTTCAGGTCTTTTCCAACCTTGGTGATTCTATGATTCTACGAGAGTAAATTCACTGAAATCAGTCCTTACAGTTATGAAAGCCATGCAAACTGTATTCCAGTTCAATTAGATCCTTCAACAGCCTGAATGAGCACTCCTGGAAACCTGACTTCCCATTATACATATACTTTCATTGACTCCATTAAAAATGGAGAGTGGCATTTCTTTCACCAGTGCCCCACAGCCACCATCTCATTCTATATTTACTGTATTTTACAAAACAGTATTCTGATTTTTCTCCAAAAAATTCACATTAAGCAACTTGTTCTGTGATTTATTTTGTTTACACCCTTTCCTTGTTGCACCTCAAGGGACATAAACTCACTTCCTTTCTGTCAATTACAAATTTTCAGTTGATTTTCTGTTATAAATGAAAGCAATACACCTCTCCTGGGTTTCCTCAGAGAACGAAGCCTTTGCTTTCCAATGCATTTTTTTCCTTATTTGGTTACTGTACATGGATAAGGTATTAGAAATTACTGTTATTACTCATTTTTAATTTGTTTGCTACATCTTGGTTGGCTTCTACTATTTATTTAGTATTATTTGATTATTATTTACTCTACAGTCTACCACTCAAAGCATGCTTATACTGTTCTATGCACTCTGTGCACTTAAGGGCTCAATTAGAAAACATTTCATAAAATTGCCTGTCATTTTCAAACTTAAACTATATAAGGTTCAACAATTAAATCTGTGTGACTGTCAGGGTCTGCCATGGTCATCTTCTGCCTTATGTGAGCTTTGAAAAGACACCACTTCCCATAGAACAAAAATGAAATGCTGCTAAAGGTTTTTGGGGGGAGATCAGCCCCAGAAGTGTAGCAGCTTCTAACTGGGTTCAACATTAGGTCTTATGTTTACATCACTGCTTCTGGAAAAGAAAAAAAAAAAGGCTTGAAATTAAATTGCACCTTTTTGTTTTAAGACAGCAAGCAAAGCACATCAGTGGGGAAACACTGAGCGGAAGTGGGAAGATTTTATTTCTTACAAACAAAATATAAGAGGCAATACTGGTTTGGGGAAATCAAGACTGTAAGGAAATTCAGGATGACAGCAAAGCAAAAGCCTGGAAACAAAAATGCAGGCAGGCCTACGACAAAGGAGAAAGATAATTCATAAAGCTTGGTTTGTACACTTAAAGCCTACATTCCGATGGTTATTTTCTTTGGAACCATTCTTCTACACCTACTTAATTCACACCAGCTAGTTCCATAATTCACACCTGATGAGATTTCTAAGACAGCCAAAAGTTAAAGACATGAATAATACTGTTCTGATACTGACTGAAACATCTTGCTTTCAAATTGACTGGGTTCTGGTTAGGGAAGTGGATGCTTTCATGCTTTCTATCCTGAAAATACAGCAATGGATGCTGCAGTGCACTGCGCTGACTCAGCAACAGGTCCCAGCTCTGATTTTTTTCAGGTTATTTTATATCTGGTTGGTCTGCTGTTGTTTTCAGCAGATAATGTCTCATATCAGCCACTGAGCTCAAAATCTGCATTATTTCATGCAGCTGTGCAATTCATATTTTACAATATTCTGTAATAGAGACTAAGAGGAAACTGAAGTAACTTGCTATTTTCCCTATTAAAATTCTGCCTAAACCACACGATGGCATATGGCTTCTAAAGTGTTTGCAAGGGAGTAATCAGAGAAAATTTAGCAATGACACCAACTGCAATTAAAGACACGGAGATCTGTAAAAACCAGGAATTTTGAAATATCTGCCTTAGAGTTAAAATTAAAAGCAATGGAAAAGTACCATTGATTTTAAGAGGGTAATGAGAGATGACATAACTAAGAAAGAAACCAATTAGCCCATCATCTGCCCCGACTTCAACTCCCACTGTGAAGCCCATGACGGTGCACAGCAGAAACATCTCAGGTGCTGGAGAAGAGCATCCTTGGGAAGCAGTGAGCTCTGCCCTGGGCCACCACTTGCTCATGCACATGGCTTTAAGGCACAAGTGCCCATTTGCCAGCACAGAGGAGCACAGCTCCATGCACATATTCACATGGACATGCACAGCGCTGAGCCTGTCTGCATGGAACTCCTAGCAACGTGGAAACAAATTAATTAAAGGTAGGAAATTAATCTGCATGTGGTAAAAATATACTGAACACCCACCCGCCCATTCTCCTGCAGCCAGCTAGCAGGTCAGGCTTGGTTCCTGGAGTTCAGTCAAAAAGAAGTAGTAATTATTTTTGTTAGAAAATAAATAATTTCTAATTTAATTTTATTTTTTTTTTTTTTTTTTTTTTTTTGTGGCAAACACAAATGGCAGTTTCACAAGTAAAAATCTCATGCACTGCAAGTGTAAGGCAAAACGATGATGCCCTCCAATACAGGATCCCCCAGCACGTGCAAACTGCATATCACAATCCATTTGGGTGCCACTGTCAAAAATAATACAGCTTGCAAAGAAAAAACTCTTTACATTATTAGTGTAAGTAAGTTGTACATTATTTCAGGGCTTTATTGCACACTGCTGGACAACTAAAATGCCCACAGCCTTGAACACTGGCCTAAGTACGCTCAGCTGGGAAGAAAACCACCTCCACCACCTCCCTCAAAAAAGCCTCAAACCAAACTCTTAAACACTCCAACTTCTGTGGGGTGTCCTCAACCATTTGCTTAAAAGTAGTTAAACCACTAAGAATGCAATAATATTTGATACTTACACTAGACGCAGTGAGACTTCACACCA